AATCATGAATTTGTCACTAAAACCTGTAATTAATCATCATTATATATGTATGACTCTTTATTTTTCGAAGATTTGTAATCGATTTCCTGAATCTTACATCAAACTGTTTTTTACAATCAAGATTAATGTACTTCAGTGAAAACTTCCTGAAAGATCTATAGAATTACAACAAAAGAGAAAATCATCGAGTCATTTATGACCCAGTGATTAATTTAATAATAGGATTAATAATGAATTAACTTTTCTAAAATGCTTTGTTGTCATAAATTCGAGGAATATTAAAAACATAATACAAAATGGTGGTTGAAGGTAGTCAACAAGAAATCCTGGACCTAGGTTTCATGCTACATGACACTCTTCAGCAAGGTGTACCTGTAATCTTGAGGGAACTGGTGCTCCATGACGGATTCGATCCCGTGTCATTCAGCTTCACAATCAGAGATGTTATCACTGAGCTATCCGGGCCGCGAATAACCTCCTGTAGGACTGATATGTATTTACAATTGATTGATCACAGGGTGGTGGATGAGTAGTTTCATGTATGTCAGGTCCTTCTTAGTGCAGATCGAATTTTATTTTGTTCTAATATAAGATTACTCAGTTGTGTATATCCAACACTTCACAAACAACCTTCAGATATTGCTATGAATGTCTAACAATTACAGTCACTAGACCAGTGTTAAGTAGTTTGTGAGGATTGTCAAACAATGAAATTAGTTTTGATTATATAGAGATATCAATTCGAAAACTATTAGAAAGAACTGAAGAGTTATCTTTACCTAGTTTTAAGCTAAGAATCCAGTGAGAATTTCAAAGTCCTGTTTAAAGAAAGTAATTGATTAACTTTAAATATAACTGGGTTGAAGCAAATATCACTACTGGTAATTCACTTGATATTGTTTTATTTGAATCTTCCCATTGATGTTTTAGGACTGAAATTGATCAGTCTCTTATTGGCATATGTGCATACTGTGCGTATGTTTCAATATTGCCTTAATTTACAAGCAATTATAAGCAAAGATGGATAGTGGCTAGCAGTGGAATCCAAGACGCGCGTTTCGTCCTGTTTGGGACTCGTCAGCTGGATGTACCTGCATCTCAGGGTTGATGTTAACTCTGGGACTCGAACTCAGTACCGTTCGCTTCAATGGGAAGATTAAAATAAAACAATATCAAGTGAATTAAACTTCAACCCATTGCACAAGCAAGTGGTTATCAGGACTCAGTAGCTAAGTGGATAACGCGATGGCGTTTGAAGCGAACGGTACTGAGTTCGAGTCCCAGAGTGAACATCAACCCTGAGATGCAGGTACATCCAGCTGACGAGTCCCAAACAGGACGAAACGCGCGTCCTGGATTCCACTGCTAGCCACTATCCATTTTTGCTTATAATCATTACTGGTAGTTTATAATTTGAAAATGTGGACTCAGGTTTCTGAAAGTGATAGATTAGGCCCAAGGATTATGTGTAGATTTGTAGGTGCACAGCTTTGATAAATTCGCGAAATATATCCAGTTGTTACTGGTAACTAGTAACTGTATATTTAAAATCATTAAGTCATCTCAGACAATCTTTGAAAACCAGAGAAAGGTGGACAGGAATTTCCTCTCGTCATTAAGACCTCCTCAGCGAGGATCGAATACAAAACTTTCAGGTCCGGCAGATAATGTTTAGTCTTTAAACCACTGTAAAATTCAACATTCTGCAAAAATCTCTCACGTTATTAACCAGTAATTCTTCAACGGATTTAAACATGTAGTTATGAGATGATAGACAAGAGTGGTATCTCAGGAGCTTTCATCAAAGCTCCACGACCAAACCATCCAGCTCACAGAACAAAAATCCATCAACAACATGTGTTTACAATTAACTAGATATCACGTTTTACTTTAGATACCTAAAATAAAGTCAAACACAGGAAAAAAAAGTTTATGGATAAACAGTAAATCTACTGTTATAATGTAGAAAGCTGTATCATAGTGGGTAGAGTTTTTTTCACCTGGTATATAAATACATGTAACTGTACAAAGCATAGCTAATTAGTAACCATAAATCTTCATTTTGTCTAAAAAGTTTTACAATATTAACAAGACTAATGATCTAATGAAAATTTCTAAATATCAAATTAGCAATTTTAATCAGGTAACTATGTTATCGTTCCTATTGATATTCTAGATACTAGGTAGTTGCATGTAAACGGTAAGATACTTGTTTTGTTGGAATTCAAACTCAATATGATGTATCAATGATCTTGGGAGAAATGTTGCTGCTCATAGGATTTGAATATCCTTTAGTAAGCTACACATTCTGCGACACTACTGCTAAGCTATTCAGAGTGTAACTGACCTCTCATAGGATCAAGATTTTTACGTTAGTTAATCGTTTAGTGGTAGCCAATTTCAAGTGGTCGAGTCTAACAATGAAAAGTCTTTTGACACGGGTTCAAATCTCTTGGGGAACATTAGTTCCCTCAAGAGTGCAGGTACGCTTTAATAACGAGCAGCAATTGACACGAAATGTAGTTTCAGAGTTTACTGTCTACTGATTCCAATAATGTATCTTCATGACATAGTGCACCCAATGTAGAGTCACTTTGAATAGTGGCTTTATTGCAACATGATCTTTAGAAACTGAACAGTATTAAGTACTAGACGAGTATAACAACGTTTGATTCACTTATCTATAATAAAACCAATGAATTTGTAAAATTCAACCGGATAGGAAAAAATTCTTGAGTTTCGTTATCCTGAATGAAGACACTACTTGAAATGATAAACATAATGGATTGTACTAGTTTACTTTAAAATAGTTACAAAAACAAATCAGATTACACAATCTATGATAAGAACCTACTTGTTTTGCAGTTACGTAAGCAACTTAATAATGTTCTTTAATAAAAGCTAATTGGTGGCTAACAGCGGAATTCAGGACTCATGCGTTGTCCTATTTGAGACTTGCCATATGAATTTACTTAGATCCTAATGTTGGTATTCACTGTAAGACTGGAACCTAGTGTTTCCACTTCAAACATTATCCACCAAGCTACAGAATTCAGATAGCAAACATGTGGTGATACGGAGATGAATTTCATCTTACAAATAAAATAAAACGGATCTAAATGTTTATTATTTTGATGCAATAACAATGTCCGATTTAAATACGCCTTATTAATGTACATCTTATTCTAACCTTTATGAAGATATAAACTGTACAGCCATATGATGAATTCATTGAAAACGAAATTAAATCTTTTCATTGATATGTTCCTTACTTAATTACTTACTTACGTCTGTTACTCTTAATTGATCATAGGCCGCCGACTAGAACTCTCCAACACACTCTGCCCAACACCTTCCTTTCCAGGTCTGTCCAATTTTTGTTCATTCTTCTCATGTCTGTCTCCATTTCTTGACGTAATGTGTTCGTTATCATCTTCTTTCCCTTTGACCTTGAGGATTCCATGTGAGGGCTTGCCTTGTGACTCAGCTGGATGCTTTCCTCAATGTGTGTCCTATCCACTTCCAACGCTTCTTAATATCTCCCTTCACTGGGATCTAGTTTGTTCTCTCCATTGATATATAAAGGAATTCTTTATTAATGATTATTAAGTAAATTACCATTTTACCATGTAAATAGACGTAAATATAATTGTATCTGATCCTAATTATCCTTCATTTTTGCATAACTGTCAAAGTAGAAGAAGATTTGTAAGGATTGTTCAATGGTAAAGATGGATCCTGGTTAAAGTTAAAAATATAAACTACTGAATTTCAACTCAGTAATCTAAACATACCATCCTTACCATGGTATCAAAACTTGTTGACCTCAAGCATTAAATAGAATTGTGAATAAGCACTGCTAGAAAGCTCTCTAACTACAATATGACAACTGTTTCACTTTAGTATGGATCTCTTTAACAGTTTGGATCTACAACTGTTTAACGAAATATGATCATCTAGTCTTTCTAGATTTTCAATAATTATCTAACTTAAATCTAACAATCTCTACAATCCCTGTACTCATAGACGATGAGTAGTATTTAGTGCTCCCTAGTATTCATGATGGAGCTGAAACTTGGAGAACTACAACAATCACCATCAAGAAGGTACAAGTATTTATAAATCGTTGTCTACGCAAGACACTCAACATCCATTGGTCGGATATCGTCAGCAGCAGCCTACTGTGGGAGAGAATAAACCACCTTCCAGATGAAGAGGAAATTAGGAAAAGACGATGGAAATGGATACGACATACATTACACAAATCATCAAACTACATCATGAGACAAGCCGTAATTTGGAATCCTGAATGGAAGCGGAAAAGAGGAAGGTCGAAGAACACATTACGTCGGGAAATAGAAGCATTTATGAAAAGGATGAATAACAAGTGGAAAGAGCTGGAAATGATTGTCCAGGACGATGTTGGATGGAGAATGCTGGAGATCGGCCTATTCTCCTTCACGAGAAGTAACAGGCGTAAGTAAGTAAGTAAGTAAGTGAGTGAGTGAGTAAGTAAGTAAGTAAGTGAGTAAGTAAGTAAGTAAGTAAGTGAGTGAGTAAGTAAGTAAGTAAGTAAGTAAGTAAGTAAGTAAGTATGTAAGTGAGTAAGTAAGTAAGTAAGTGAGTGAGTAAGTAAGTAAGTAAGTAAGTGAGTGAGTAAGTAAGTAAGTAAGTAAGTAAGTAAGTAAGTGAGTAAGTAAGTAAGTAAGTGAGTGAGTAAGTAAGTAAGTAAGTAAGCAGGTAAGTAAGTAAGTAAGTAAGTGAGTGAGTGAGTGAGTAAGTAAGTAAGCAAGTAAGTAAGTGAGTGAGTGAGTGAGTGAGTGAGTAAGTAAGTAAGTAAGTAAGTAAGTAAGTAAGTAAGTAAGTAGGTAAATTTCCATGATTCCCCCAATCTAAATCATTTAGTGACTTCATAAATATTTCTCAAGTTATCTTTATCATTGATATGTTTAATGTTTCATTTTCTCCTCTTCATGTATTCATATTAATTTTAATTTTAGATGTTGGACCAGCTAAAGTGACAACATCCACTAAAACATTTTATGAATATTTAGATAATGTTTATACTCAAGGTGGTGGTGATTGTCCAGAAATGACAATAACTGGCATTGAATTAGCATTGGAAGCCTCTAGACCAAATTCATTAATTTATGTTTTTACAGATAGTAGCGCTAAAGATTATAATCGTACAGAAAGAGTACTCAATTTAATACAACAAAAACAAAGTCAAGTAAGTTGATCAATTTATGAAGTGAGATTATAATTTATGAACGAATCAATCAAACTTAGGGTAACAAATCTTGAATTTCGGCCAGAAATTCACTCATCCATTTAGATAAATAGAATTATAGCATTATAGATAATGTCAGTTTGTGATGAGAACCCTGAATATGATTCTTAACCCTGACTAACAACTGTAAATCATAGTCCTTATTCACGCAGGTTTATAAACTTGTAAGTGGACATTCTCAAAGTCAATTCAGCGTCGCTCGAAGGTCGTCTCATCATTTATTGTTACCGAGATTATTTTAAGATTTTTATTTTATTCTGATTTATTTATTTAGACACATAAATACTGATACAGGGGGGGACCAGATACATATGCACCACACAAATCACATTTGATTTGTGCGAGGGCTGTGATGCTAACCGGGTATCAAACTGAAGCAGGTGGTTTTCTTAGGGGGCCACACCTTCAGCGTTCAACCTAAAGGTCTGATCCACAATGCAGAGGAGCAGCATAAGGAGATGAAGTCCCATAGTAGTCGGTGACTAACAACTGGTTCATACTCCATTTTTCCCCCGGATACTGGATCCCATGTGCACCATTGGTTTGGAATCAGGGCTGTTCAATTCCCCTGGGTGAACCCTCCGTGTCTACCAACCCGGTTAAAGCGCCGGATATTCGCTTTGCGTCCTCTCAGTTCCGTGAACAACACTCACGCCACGAGAAGGCCGTGAGTGAAAGTCGATAAAAGTGTATTATGTAGTACTATGTCGAACCCACATGGGCTACTTTAGCTTCTGAACAGATCAATTAAGTTGTTCACTTCGAGTCGTACTTTGACCTCAGAAATTATTGCCCTATAAACTCGAGTGTTTTATTTGAGAGTGTGTGTGTATCGATTATCCTATTCATCACATGTCTTTAGCCTATTTTTGTCTAATTATAAATATTGAGTCACAATTTATTAAAATGAATTAGTATGTTCACCTTCTCCGCTTCCGCTCTCTCGCTTCTCATTCTCAATGTCAGTCTTAATAAACGAGTGTTCGAAATAAATTTGGTCAGCCCAAACCGTATTTGGTATCTTGTTAATACCGTCGCACAAACGGGCTTACCCTAGTGTAATATACGAAGTTAAGTTGATGATCTATCATCACGGCGTATACATAGAACGAAGTCAGATCAACGAGCCACTAAGAAAGTGTACTTTAGGGACGAACCAATCAGAAACGAGAATGAGGCTTCCAAGTTTTTTCATGTTATGCATAGCAAGCAGTAAAAATACCTTTGTATAGTGCTCAAAATGTTTAAAATGATAGTGAAAAGTTACTCTTCACATCCATAAAGTAAAAAACAACATATTGTTAAACGTATCAAATACCTAATACTATGTCTGAAGATAGTATGCAACAGGCAAATCGAAACTAACCCTAAATTCTAACTCTTACTTCCGAAACAAACTTAAACTTGGTAGAACTACATTTTATTAGAGAACTAAATAGATAACACCATTTGATCTTGAAATACCTAACCCCGAACTAGGAACACTTTAGGGGCTTTTAAAAATCTGCAGTTAGAGTAAACTATGGACTCATTATTGATTAAAAATTTGTTTACACTGTGTAGAATTATTGTTTTATTTCTCATCAAATACGTATTGATGAGAACTGTTTTCTGATTGGCTAGAAACTAGCCGGAAATTCGTCGTTGTTTTTTGATCCTCGTCCCTATACTATAGTATACTATAGTGTTGACGAGATATCCGTCTACCAACCAAAGGACGAGTTTACTGTGCGGCAGTTCGTTCCGTCCTACTTTATGGCAATGAAACATGGCCGGTAAGATTAGAGGACATCCGTAGGCTACTAGTATTTGATCATAGGTGTCTTCGAAACATTGCTCATATATCATGGGACCATCGAGTAAGTAACGCGGTTGTTAGGAAACTGGTACTACGTAAGGATTGCAAATCAATTGGTGAAGTAGTGAAACTTCATCAGTTCAGATGGCTGAGACACGTGTTACGTATGCCCAACGACCGACTACCTCGACGTGCTATGTTCAGTGGTATAGGAGTAGGTTGGAAGAAAGCTAGGGGCGGCCAAACCAAAACATGCCACAAGTCCATGAAGTCACTGACAAGTGGACTGAGTCATGTTGGTAGGTGTAGACTACCTGGTTGGGGACGGCGAGATGATAGCAACCGATGGTTAGAGACCTCGAATGACATGTCTCAAAATCGTTTGCAATGGCGCAGGTGCATTTACTCGTTGTGTTCTCCCAAATTCTAATCTCCTGAATTCGTCATGTCTCTTCTTTTCTCTTTCCAAATTTATTTCACTGGATTATACTCCTTGAATAACATCTTCAAACCCTAATCTTTTCGATTACTGCTTATACTTTTACTACCTCTACCACAATGGGATTTGAATCGACACTTGTATCTGTGCACTAATGTGGTGATGGCAACTGGAACTGATGTACGTACGTACGAAGTTCTACGTTGTTACTGACTGACTGATAGTATACTACTATGTGGTCTAAAGGTTTGTTTTTATAATTTTATTTAATTTGAGCCTTAAAATCTATATTGCATTCATGGTATACCTTGGAAATGTAATATATATGTTATAGGTTACATCATAAAATGATTTTAATCAGACAAACACTGAAAATCAGGTATACTGAAGACAGTTATCTCGTTTTATTATGGAACTGGTGATCGAAATGCACACATAATTTCACCATTTACCAAAGCCAATACGTTTAAGTCTTGTAGTGATCACCTAGCCATTAAATCTCTGAGCCAATATCTAATGGTTAAGATATTCATTATACTGACTATAAAATTCGACAAATTTCCGAAACTCCTTAACTACTACTACCACTACTACTAATATAATAATAATAGTAATATAATGTCTGTTGTAAAAGTTCGACTAAAGGTGAAAATGATAATATAGGAATGATTATTTGAAATTTCATAAGTTTAATGGACTATGGCAATGCCTCAATTAATTGTTATCCATAAAAATATTGGAAATTATATGAAGTATTTTAAGTACAAAAGTGATACATTTAAATTCCATATTATAAATTGCCCTCAGTCAGTCAGTCAGTCAGTCAGCTACAACGTAGGACCAGGCACATATATGCATCGGTCCAAGTTGCCATAATTCATTAACACAACAAGATGGACACCGGATTCATAAAAGTAGTTAATTCAATGATGGTAATATATAAAAGAAAGATTGCAATAAGGATATGGTACAGGAAGAAAGAATTAGTTCGTAGAAAGAAAGATATGAAGTGATTTTAATCTCTTAGTTCAAGGGAAGACAGGTACCTCCAGAACAACCTTTCCACGGTGTGAGCAGCCGTGAAGTGATAACCGCCCTCATACCTCTAACAGCACTCTAGACCACTGTATTCATAATCAACCTTCCATAAATTGCCCTCAATAAGTAGTGAATGATAATGATCTTTTGAAATACTCTCACTAAGTTGATTTCGTATATACTCTTGATATGACTGACTACCATCTACCTTGGTACATGTTAATGATTATTGTGAGAGTATACTGAGAGAAATGTAGAAGTGGCCAAACCAAGATGTCCATGAAGTGATTGACTGTTGAAATGAGCCATGCTGATAGTTGTAGACTACTTCATTTGGATCTTTGTGACTATCATAAACAACTGTTGAAGAGGCTGAAATCATTCACAATGGCGCAGATATACACTCCCCTTAGATCTAGAGTGACAAAATTATCTGAGTACCTTTTTATTCCATAAATTTGTATTTTCTTATATCATACTGTCTACATCTAATCTTCTCCACTGTTACTGATATTGCTATTACTTCTGTTATTCTGACCTCATATTGAGCTTATGCAGTGTGGCAACTTGAATCAATGTACAAATATCCCAGGATCTTGGTTGCTAATTACTGACTGGCTATGTGATCGATTCTGTTTGGTAGATGAAATTACAATTGTATTAGTTACTCATCAACAGTATTTAATAAGAGTTTTAACTGGAATTTTACACTTAATAATGTTGTACATTTTGTTCAGATGATTTTAGCTGATTGACACGAAAGTATAGTGTACACTTCCAGATATAAACAGTTTGAGTTTGATCACTATTAACGCTATGTATGTACATTTACAGCAGCAACTGATTTTTACTTTAGCACTACTCATTTTGTATTCGTGATTATTAATTGTACTTTCTTCCATAGTAACTAAATAAAATAGTGGGCGGCCTATGCTCCTCCAGAAGGGGTAACAGGCGTAAGTAAGTAAGTAATTACATAAAACAGACACTGAATAGCGAAGTGATTTATTATTCTCTCCTATAAATGTATTTCAAATAAAATTTTAAACATTCGTAACAATATTTCAGTTACAATTTACTATTATTATTTATAATTAAGGTTGTATTTGTTCTAACTGGATTTTGTAATACAACGGATGAACCTGGTTTTGAAGCATATCGTCAAATTGCTACAGTTAGCTCTGGTCAACTTTATATAATTGGTAAAGGTCAAGTTAATGAAGTGAGTTGATGATAATTTCTTCCTGATATTTTCATTATCATTTTCCTGTTGAAATTATATCTTCTATATAAACAAAGATGGATAGTGGCTAGCAGTGGAATCCAGGGCGCGTGTTTCGTCTTATCAGGGATTCATCAACTGGATATACCTACATCTCAGAGCTGATGTTTACTCCAGGACTGAAACTCAGTGCCGTTCGCCTAAAACGCCATTGAGTTATTCACTTAGTTACTGAGTCATGATAGCCAATAGTATGTGACATGGGGTAAAGTTTAAATTCACTTTGTACCGGTTGTTTGAATGTTCTCATTGATGTTTAGGACTACAATGGATCAATCTCTTAATAGCATATGTGCATCCTGTAGTAATTTCTTGATAATGCCTTAATTCATAAGCATTATAAACAAAGATAGATAATGCTTGTAACCTGAGGCACTATCAAGAAATCCACACGAGATGTACATATACCAATGAGAGGCAGATCAATCGCAGTCCTAAACATCAATGAGAAGATTCAAGTGAACAATACCAAGTGAATTTACATTTTTTATATTTTGTGGTAATTGTGGTCTGGTTTGAAATTTATGAAGTAAAATGTGATTGTATCTTCCTAAAATTAATTGGATGCGCATTGCTGAGGAGTTCCACACTAGGACGAAACATCCGTCCAGTGCTTCCAGATTTTCCATGGTAGTCTAGCTTTAATTGACTCATGAATTCAACTATTAAAACTTAATTTTCCACTGATGGTTTTTTACGAACAAACAAATGCTAGATGATGTTCACCAGTTACTAGAGCTGCACATGTATGTGCACCGTTTTCACAGCACAAGGAGACGCACAGTTTCCGACCGCACTTCCACTTCACGTTAGGACCATACACGTTTATTGGTTTATCCTGCTCGATCACCGGACATCCAGTCAGCCACTACATATTGAGACACCTCCAGATAAACACCTTATAAATTAACTCGGTCCCTACCATCCATGCCACTACCCATACCTCAATCTTCAACGGCAGCAGGGTGGAATTTATCTGGTCAATTCCGGAGCCACATCTGGGTTACCGGGTTACCGAAGCCATACGTTAAGCAGCAGCAAATGACCGCCAGTCAAAGGATCAGTTCCAGCTACGGTAGTGTCCTCTAGAGCACACATGTAACCATAAGGATGAATTCACATGGTCAGGTCAACGGCTAGAGCCAACCTAGACTGAGCCTCCCCACCACACTAGCCTAGATGGACCAGTGCAAGATGGGTAGAAGTTAGATGTGGCCGTGCGCACACGCTACATATTACTATATTGGGCACCTTTACCGGCGCACAACAGCCCAACTGGAAACCCAAAGGTCTCGACTACATTTTAGCCGCAGCATCAAAGAGATACCATGCTACTAGTGGGAACCAAGAAGAGGTAGTCGTTACGCAACTATATCTCCCGAAAGGCGCAAATATATGCCAAGTTACAGGGCAAAAGATGACGAGGCATTTGACAACCTTAAGAGAGTCATAGTTATTCCCGCCGACCAGCATTCTCCAACCCACTCTGTCCTGGGTCTTCATTTCTACTTCTATCCACTCTACATTTTATCACTAAATAAATAAAACATATTTTTTTCTAGTGTAAGATAATTGTAATGTGTCTGAGTGGATTGTTTTTTGTTATGAACTTACCGAATGTATCCCTAAGATTTCGTTCCCATTACAAACCTTGAATTCTAGATCAATATACATCTATTCTTAAATAGATTACATAATGATTCTTGATGTTTTTAAGTCTGCTCCCAATAAATTATGTAAGATAAACAGTATCAATAGGTTTAAGTGAACAAACTCCTCATATGCATAATACTAAGATACTTTAAGTGAAGTAGTGGATTTCTATTACACTTTTCAGATAATGCAACTTGAATGAAATGAATTAAAATTGGAATAAAACTTGAAATAAATGAGCATTCTTATTGAATGAGACAAATTAAAGTTTGTCAAGTTAGTGTAGTGTATGTTAATTGTGTCTGTCAACATAAGTAGGATGTAAAACCGATCAAGAGCTAAGATGTGGTTGGAGGTAGTCAACAGGAAACCCTGGACCCGGGTTTCGTGCTATTTGTCACTCATCAGCAAGATGCGCATATAGTCTTGAGGGAACTAGTGTTCCCTGAAAGACATGATCCCGTGTCACACAGTTTCACAGTCAGAGACATTATCACTGAGCTGTCCGAGCCGTGAAAGACCTCCTGTAGTGGTCGACAGCATTCGATCTGCACTAAAAAGGACCTAACACACATGACATTGCTCACCCACCACCCAGTGGTCAATCAATTGTGAACCGATAAAGAGTGGAATGCATATCAAAATGAAGATCGAACTAAAGAAAACAGAAATGGAAGTAATTGTTACATCCCAATGAGAATAATGAAGGTAACTGTTGGAATCTATTTCTGGACCAATACTATACGTATATTTTTATCATGTAATTGTTAAGTAACTATACTATTCATATTCGTGTTCCTCTTATCATAAGCTTTATTTTGACCAATGAACTATTATTATATGATTTACCATTCTTGAGTTATACACGGTCTATTAAAGACTACCTCCCACATTCACAGCCACGTTTGGCTAAATCTTGTACAAATGTTGTTTCTTATTTTATGATACGATGTGGTCTGTTTGGTTATTATATAAATCCAGTATGTTTGAAATGAATGATTCATATCGTAGAGGCTGAGATTAGTGTTCTGGACTCAACAGGCAGTTAGGGCTAGGCAGGGAGCAGGACCGATAAGGACTCTAGACTGCTCGTACTTTTTTTGTACGTCATTGGTCCGATCGATAATTCAATGTTCTCTAATTGGCAGTATCATCACGTTATACATTAACAGGGCAGATAGGCCACAAGTTATAACAGTGATAATACTAATTCTCTATTTCTTTTAGTGTTATTATGATCTTGTTTGGTTCAGGAAGAAATACTGTAGAACGAAACTCTAATAGCTATTGGCCATGTACTTGTGAAAATGACTGTCTGATAAATTTAAACAAATAAGATCAATAATATATGGTATCGTGCTTACCCCATTTTTGAACTACCATCTTTTGTCAAGTAATAAAGTAAGTAAGTAAGTAGTAAGTAAAAGGGTTAATCACTGAACTACTGAGTCTCAATAGTCACTAGCTTATGTAATCGGGATATAAAAATTAAAATTAAAAATAAACTTCCTACTGTATATACTTTCACAAATGTAAATATATTCTATTAATCATTATTGACTGGACACTATTAGCAACAACCAACTGTGGGAAAGAACAAACCACATCCCAGTGGAGGAGAAAATTAGGAAGAAGCGCTGGAGGTGGATAGGACACACATTGAGGAAATCACCGAACTGCGTCACAAGGCATGCCCTCACATGGAATCCTGAAGGCCAAAGGAAAAGAGGAAGACCAAAGAACACATTACGTCGAGAAATAGAAATAGACATGAGAAAAATGAACAAGAATCGGATGGAACTAGAAAAGAAGGCCCAGGACAGAGTAGGTTAGAGAATACTGGTCGGTGGCCTATGCTCCATTAGGAGTAACAGGCGTAAGTAAGTAAGTAATCATTATTGGATAGTCCAAAAAGTAAGCATTATCATACTTTAGTAATACGGATAATTATCCTTAGTATGTAAATTGTAAAATTGTACTTTGTTAGCCATTGTAATCTTATTCAACCATCATACAATGTAAATAAATGTACTTATGATGAATATACCATTAATAAAAAACACCTTTATATTCTAGTTTATGCAAGTGGTTGAAGCTGCTGTTGAAGCACGTAAAGTACATATACTTCAACAAGATACATTGAATACCGAATCAAAAACTTATAGCTTCCCAGTCGATTCACATTTATCACAATTAACTATACAAGTAACAAATCATCAACGTGATCGTGCAATCAATGTAAAAATTCGTAATCCTGAAGGTAATTTTAATCTATTGTTATTATTATTATTTATATTTAGTTAGATTTTCTTCAACTGCTTACAACTTGTAATAAAATGGTGGTTAGAGATAGCCAACTGGCATAGTGCATGCATTGTCGAGTCACTTAGACTAATGGCCAAATTGTAACTTGGTCGACAGGATTTGATCTGCACTAAGAAAGTGTTAGAGTTGAAGCAATCACGAGTTCACTCAATCTGCGAACGAGAACAAAGACTCAATGACCAAAGACCAGTAAGCTAGCTATTTGATGCGTCCCAGCCCCGTTAACTAGAGGGATAAGTTCAAGCTTGGAATAGGAAAGTATATTCTGCAAACAGCCAGAAACGAGCGATCACACAGCGATCCACAAACACAATTCAAACGTATATATATCAATTATATGTGTATAGTCGATATTGCCATGGAAGTATTTTTAAACATTTAATCGATAAGAATAATTTAGTTAATTAACAGTTATACGGTAAAATATACGTATAGTGTTGGTCCCCAAATGGATCCCAAAAATTACCACTCATTATTCTTATCGGGGCATAACAGAAAAACCTGACATACAGGTTATTAATCACAACCCAGTAACCAATCAATTGTAAATACAACTTGTAGTTTTTTTTTGATGGAGTTTTGTTCTCTGAGCTGGATGTTTCGGTCGTGGAGCTTCCATCGTTCTTCTGAACGACAGAACAGCTGTACAGAACAAGCTGTGAAACGCATATGGAGAAATTCGAACACTTCACTTCTATCTGAAGTTTGTGCTGATGATGTCGAGATGAGATTATAACTTATCATTGACGCTGGACTGACCTTGAGAGTGTCCACCTAAAAACTAGGACCAAACGAGGGTTATAAGATTGTGTGAGGAATCAGAATTATGGTTTACAGTTGATGTTTAAGGCTAGGAATTGCATTTAGGGGTTTCATCACGAACTCACATCATCCATAATGCCAAAACTCTATTTAGCCAAATGAATGAGTGAATTTCGCACCAAAATCCCATTTATGTTTTCTTATACATGATTAATTTTTTCTGGTTAGCGTTTTTTTTTAGCGAGTTAGTTTTCTACGGGATGGGGACGCTAACCCCATGCCCAACCCTCCTCCTTTATCCGGGCTTGGGACCGGCAGTAGCCCCCGGAGGGACTCCAGGCGGAGTTCTTATACATGATTGGTTCACCCATAAATTATAGTCTCGCCTATGTTATTTTGCTCAAACCATTGCTTTTGTTAACTTCAAGTATAATAAAAGGAACTATGTGTATGAAGTATTATTGTTATTACCGCTAGTAAGATAACAGATATTCATTCATAAAATGAAAAAAAAAGATTGAAATTATAAAATTTTGCAGCAATTCGGAAGACTCTCCCAGTCTCCCACATAGTAAGAGAATCCCATTTAACTAAATAAATGGTTGATCTGGTTGCCAGAAGGAGCACCAGCCTCGTGAATTCCGAATGAACTCATCTTTCACTATGAGGCGTCATAACTCTTCTAAATGAAGACCTTCTGACTCCCAGGGCAGTGTTTAAATGGTTTGAATAATGTTTTCTGGTTAGCGTTTTTTTAGGGAGTTAGTTTTATACCCCATGCTCAACCCTTCTTCTTTATCCGGGCTTAGGACCGTCAGTAACCCCAGGAGAGCTCCAGGCAGAGTTAGGATTATAAATTAGCAGATTCTAAAACAGCTATCTAAAGATAACAAACACTACAAAAACTGAAAATATTAGTGAGATGATGCAGAAGATTTGTAGCTCGGGTGGATGATTTGGATGGAGTTTTGTTATCTGAACTGAATGGTTTGTTCACTGCACTTCTACATGAATTTTATGCTGATAATGTCGTTCAGGAGAACAATAAAAGTTCCACGACCAAACCATCCAACTTAGAGAGCAAAACTCCATGAAAATCTTAGTTTAAATCCTTGTCAATCTGTATGGGTGCATATTGCTTAAATGGTGAAAAGTCTGGTAAAACAACTATTCAATAACAATTGGTTCTCTTTAAGTATTCAATCTATTTGACTAATTAATTTAAGCTTCGAAAAATTCTGTATATCAACTTATGTCAGTATTGGTGAATTTCGACATTTTTGGTGAGTAGAAGTTAACAACTAGGAAAGTATCAATGTAAATTTCCTATTTACTAAAGAAAATAATCCATGCTGAATGTAGAAAAAAGAACTACCTCACGTAAGGGTCTATCACAAAATTACTTCCTTACTTACTTACGCCTGTTACTTCTAATGGAGCATAGGCTGCCGACTAGCACTCTCCAACACACTCTGTCCTGGCCCTTCCTTTTAAGGTCTGTCCAATTTTTGTTCATTCTTCTCATTTCTGTCTCAATTTCTCGACGTCATTTGTTCGTTGGTCTTCTTCTTTTCCTTTGACCTTGAGGATTCCATGCGAGGGCTTGCCTTGTGACTCAGCTGGATGCTTTCCTCAATGTATGTCCTATCCACTTAATCAAAAATTAATAGGGATTAATTAATAGAAGCTGGAAGATCGGATTAGTTAGTCATAGTTGTATACAAATGATTCATGTAAACACTTCTGATGTACTAAATGTTGATTTATTCTTAGTAAAACCTTTTAAATTTATATCCCAAATATTTGTGATAGTTAATACATGAATAAAAAATACTACTACTAATAGGATAATGGATAATGGAGGCCGCCAAACGATGGAGTAACATTAGTCCATGAAGTCATTGTTGGTCTGATCTAATATTGTTAAATGAAAACAACCTGACTTGAGTACATATGATAAACACAATCAGGAATTGGGTGACATCATATAGAATCGTTCATAACAACACAGGTTCTCAGTTCCAGTATTCCTTCATAAAACCTTTTTATTTTACTTTCTCGAACTGTATACTTACTTTTTAATCCTTTTTACTATCATTTCTATTACATAACGTCGGCCATTCTAATGTGCTCACGTGGTAAAGGAACGTGAGTTAACATATTTTTGTAGAGCTCTACTTTGAGTAGATTCTAGAAATTGTTAATATATTCAGTAGAATATTTTATTTATAATAACTTTAAATTGAATAATTTTCATTTCACTGAATGGTAACAAGCTGTCGGTAAACAAGACAGATTTTAATGCAAACCCCTTCATGATTTGTTAGTTTTTATTGTATAATTAGAAAAAAACTGTTAGTTTGAATCATACTACTACTACTACTACTACTACTACTACTACTACTACTACTACTACTACTACTACTACTACTACTACAACTACTACTACTACTTAAGCCTGTTACTCCTCGTGGAGGAGCATTGGCACTCTCCATCCAACTATGTCGTGGGAAATCCTTCAAGCTCTTTCCAGTTGTTATTCATCCTTTTCCTATCTGCTTCTATTTCCCGACGTAACGTGTTCTTTGACCTTCCTCTTTTCCATTTCTCTTCAAGATTACAAGTTAGCGCTTGTCTCATGATGCAGTCACAATTATGGTTTATTTTAATTCATTATTTTTCCTCAATGTTTTTAATTTTCTAAACAGGAAAACTAATTGATAAAGAAGATGGTCTAAAACAATTAATGAAAGCTGTAAAATCTGTATTTGTCGGATCAATTGATCGACCTAAACCAGGTCAGTGGACATTAGAAGTTGGCATTGATACAGAGGAAATTGATTCGGAAACAATGGATATGAATAACGACAATAATAATATTAATAATGATAGTAATTTACAACGTGAACGATGGATTTCTGTTCGAGTTTCTGGTATAAGTGATGTTGATTTTTTGCAAGGTTTTTCAACAACACCAAAATTGTATAATTATGGTGCATCAACACAACCGATTGCAGGTTTGATTGTTTGAATAACTCATTTTTAGCTTTGTTCTTTGTTTTTTGATTATTTGAATTATGGCACATTTGAGTGAACGATGTTGGGTTCGAAGCCCTGAGTGAACAACAACTCTAAGATATAGGTACATCCAGCTGACAAGTCCTACATAGAACGAAAAGCGCGTCCAGGAATCCACTGCTAGCCACTATCGATCTTTGTTTAGAATGCTTGTGACTTCAGGCAATATCAAGGCAATGCGCACATGATGCACATATGCCAACAAGAAACTGATCAATTGCAGTCGTAAATAACTATAGGAAGATACAAGTGAAGCAACACCAAATGAATATAAATTCATAATCGTTGTACTAAAATGGTCCAAATTAGGTATGGATAAGTAAATTACGACAATGAACTATTTGATTAGGCAAAATTCAAATTACCTCAATTATAAAATTGAAATCTCATTTAAGAAAGGTATAAGAAGAAGGATTCGTTTTAAGATACCAAACTACAATCAATTTAATAAACTACATCATGAACAAGAATAGAGCCTTCTCTATAAAGCTTATGTAACTAGCTCCGATAGAAAAGTTAAACTGATATACGCATATGGAAGAGATCATTAATGGTATTTCATCTTTGATTAATTGTGTAAGTACTTATTTAGTTGAGTAGGTAACATGTAGCTTCATAGAGTTAAACATCCTGTTAGTAAATCTTCTTAGTCGATAAGGAAAGTTGTTATCCTTCAAGTCGTCTTTAAAATCAAATCTTAGGTAAAGATTTTCTGTGCATCATTTGCTTTTGAATTAAGACAATATCAAGGCAATCCGTACAGGATACACAAATTCCAATAAGAGATTGATCAATTGCAGTCCTAAACATCAATATGAAGATTTAAACAACCGGTACAAAATAAATTTAAACCTCAACCCATTTCACAAGCTAGTGGCTGTATGGACTCCGTAACTGAGTAGATAACGTAATAGCTTTTGAAGCGGACGATACTGGATTCAAGTCATAGAATGAACATCAACTCTGAGATGCAGGTATATCCACCTAATGAGTACTAAATAGGATGTAACACACGGACTGGATTCCATTGCTAACCTCCATTCATTCATCTCTGCTTAATCTTACTGTTTATCAATTAAAAGATATACATGTGCAATAGAAAATTATGTTGAACTTGTAAGGTTAAAGAAATACAAGTTTAATCTGTTGAAATCATCCCTCAATTTGTAAAAAAGATTATTTAGACATACCTACCTAGTAGGATTAGATAAATCCCATGTAACTATAGTTGATCAAAATGAAATGTTTAGACAATTAAACTATATCTTAAATTCTAACGATGAAAAAACTTCTTCAATAGTACATAACGATACCATTATGGACAAGTAGTACGTGATAAATGAAACTGTAACTCATACAAATCCGGTGAGAAGGCAAAGAATGATGGTAATATGAAGATTTTATCTATCCTCCTAAAATAATACACTCATTTATATTCACTTGATGTTGTTTTACTTGTATCTTCCTATTGTTATTTAGAACTGCAATTGATCAGTCTCTTGTTGGCATATGTGCATCATGTGCGGATTGTCCCGATATTGCCTTAAGTCACAAGCTTTTTAAGCAAAATAGAACAGAGTAAAGTAGAGAATATAGATCAATTCATTAGTTATAAAGTGATATGCTTTTAGTGAATCTCGAGGATCCCGAAAACGATCCCTGGCCCGGTTATGTATATGCTCTTCTAATAAGTCCTAAAGTAGAACAAAATAGATATAAAGTGATATGTGTTTTTTGGATGATACATTAACTAATATCGATACTTGGTGAAAACCACCATACAATCTAATAAATTTGCACAAACCTATCAGTAGCAGTTCCATGTGTGTTTTTCTATCGCTCTAACTTATGGAAGTGGAAGTTATATTTAGACCATAAGTATTTGATCATAAGTGTTTTCAAAACACCTCTTTTACTTTGTGAAACAATCGACTGAGGTTAAACGTAGGGTTCTAGATAATGTTAACAAAAATTGAATGAATATATGAGTCTTTATCAACATAGGTAACTGGGACATATACCGTATTCCTTATTATTCCCCATTAAGAAATGACATTCTATTTGAAGTCAAAGTAATTTGTAAGGAAGTTAGTGTCAGTCTAATCAATAACAGTGAAATATGATCTCGTTTATTTTTCAAATCTTTTCTTTCCTAAAGAATATTTTTTCCAAAACTTTTTTACAGGTGTTCAAAATTACATTATGGTTAATATGACTGGACGATTTCTACCAGGACAAATTGATCATTTTGATATGCGTGGATCAAATGGTTCATCAATTGTACGATTACCTGTACAACAAACTGAAACATTTCAAATTTATGTTAGTCAACAAGCAATGGAACCAATTACTGGACATTATTATCTTGAAGTAGGTTTTCATCCTAATAAATTCTTTTTAAAGAGGAAAACAAACACCAATACAGAAATATTTTATTAAAACTGGTACAAAACAACTGAAGGAAGTTCATCATCATCAGGATTGCTGTGTTTTTCCGAACAAGAAAATAGGTCCTTCTATTATACTGAACAAACCAGAACTAGATTAGTATCAGAAGGGGTTTTGTGGGTATTATCAGTAATTTTAATAGTTGAGAACTTGATTCAATGGAAGCTAGACTATCATAGAAAATCTGGAAGCACTGGACGACCATTTTATCCTTGCATGAGACTCCTCAGCAGTGAGCATTCATGATTCCGCATGTGGGATTAAAACCTAAAACCTATCATTCGCGCGCATGAATTCTTGACGTCTAAACGACTGAGCCGGCATCCAGAGGTGGTAATGTCTAACTACAACCAATATACAAAATTGAGCGACACATTCATCATTGTCATCAGTGAGTTACTACCTCACAACAGACCTGGTCGAACTCCACTAGTCACTGATTCTCACTAGAATTCCAGGAAATACCTCCTGAAGTCAATCACTAGTGAGCACATGGCGATTATTATAAAAAGGGGTTTTTTGTGGAGATTGTAGTATTGTAATAGTTGAGTTCATGAGTCTATTAAAAAGCTCGCGTGCGAGACTGGAGATCTTTGGTTCGAATTTTGCACGAAGGATTGTGGATGCTCACTGCTGAGGAGTCCCATACTAGGACGAAATGGCTGTCCGGTGTTTGCGGGTTTTCAACGATGGTCTAACATTATTCATTTCATGATCGCAATTTATTTGACTGTTTTCGTAATAAATTCATTCATTAATTGTATACAACGTAAAGTATTAATGTTTATTCATATAGGTTTTTACCAAACACTATAGCAGCACCGTGATTTTTCCTTTTTACACTGATCTGAACCTACTGACTTCATCTTAGTTTCCGTTGTCTCCTATCCAATGTTATTTGATAGTAACATTATTGTTTTCTTTCCAAAATTTACTCACTAAAATTTATCAGCAAATTTAAAACATTTTTAACGTTCATCATTGGTTATGAGTGGTAAAACAGAACGTTCCTTACATATATTTCCAAGCCCCAAATGCCCTAGTACGGCTGAGGGTTGGGCGAGTAAGCTCTTCCACTCGAAATGCTCTCACATGGTCATGTGTATACAGCCTCTGCCAGGGAAGTTCTATTAACTGCCTCCTTGCGGCATTACTGTTGTTTACCAAATTGAGAGGACGAAAAGCGAATATTCAGTGCTTTAACTGGGGTAGTGGATATGGACGATCCACCTAGGGCGGTTGGAAAACCCTGATTCCAAACCAATAGTGTACATGGACTCCAGGATCCTGAAGGGACGAATGGCGTATGAACCTGCTATGCCCCGATAAGAATAATGAGTGGTAATTTTTGGGATCCATTTGGGGACCAACACTATACGTATATTTTACCGTATAACTGTTAATTAACTAAACTATTCTTATCGATTAAATGTGTAAAAATACTTCCATGACAATATCGACTATACACATATAATTGATATATATACGTTTGAATTGTGTTTGTGGATCGCTGTGTGATCGCTCGTTTCTGGCTGTTTGCAGAATATACTTTCCTATTCCTAGCTTGAACTTATCCCTCTAGTTAACGGGGCTGGGACGCATCAAATAGCTAGCTTACTGTTCTTTGGTCACTGAGTCTTTGTTCTCGTTCGCAGATTAAGTGAACTCGTGATAACTTCAAACTTAGCAGAACTAATCGTTGGTCACTGGCTACTATGAGGCTACATCTCCTGACGCCGCCTCACTGCCCTGTGGATCAGACCTTCAGATGGAATGCTGAGGGCGTGGCTCTACATGTAAACCTGACTGTCGTGATGGTTTCAGTTTAGTTAGAATCTAACTTACTTACTCACTTACGCCTCAATGGAGCATAGGCCGCAAATCAGCATTCTTCAACACACTCTGTTCTACTCCTTCCATTCTAGTTCTATCCAATTTTCGTTCATTTTTCTCATGTCTGTCGCCGTTTCCCGAAAAATGTGTTCTTTGGTATTCCTCTCCTCCTCCTTTGGCCTTGAGGGTTCCAGTTGAGGGATTGACTTGTGTGTGATCTATCCACTTCCAACGCTTCTTCCTCATTTTTTCCTCCACTGGAATCTGGTTTGTTCTCTCTCACAGTAGGTTGTTACTGATACTGTCTGATAAACGGATCCGGAGTATTTTGTGTAGACAACTGTTAATAAACAGTTGTATCTTCTGGGTGATGGCTTTCATGGCTCTCCAAGTTTCCGCCCCAGTAGACAGTAGAACTGTCTTGACATTCGTATTAAAAATGTTGACCTTGGTGTTGGTATGGGGTTAGTTACCCCATCCCGTAGAAAACTAACTCGCCAAAAAACGTCAAGGCAAAATAAAAACTTGGGATTAATTTACCCATGATACATTTAGAACAGTGAATTTGGGCAATCAAATAATGATTATTCATTAATAACATATATCGCATAAATCTTACACATAGTGTAGCGAACAGGAATACCAGTGGGGACAAAAAATTACAGGACTTATTAATAAAATCTATCATAAAGTAAATACGTAATTTGCAAAATATCCATCAATTGTCTCATAATGATTCAGACTTCATTGTTCTTGCATTTTCATACAAATTACATTCTGTTTCCATTATTTACTGTTCAATCCTCTTGTCTCTCTGCTGCCACACATTCTGTTCAGGACTAACATCATTTACTACTTATGTCAACATAAGTAGCACACACCACAAAATCACTAGAAGTAGTATCGTATACGACGTTTTTGAAAATGCCACATTTATTGACTTATATATATATATATATATATATATATTATATATATATATATATATATATATATATATATAGACACATCTCTTCTATTCTATAGACGTATTATTAAGATATCACAGAAATCTAGATGTGATTGTTCAGAAAGTCAGTACGACTACTTCTCTTGTTACGATTTCAGTTACTTTCATATATCTATATTTTCTTTCATATTTCTTATTTCATATGTTGTATCACTCATTTATTATTGTATATATCAATGGATACAGGTATCTGGACGTGATGGACAAGGTTATCCATTTCAACGTTGTTCTAAAGTAGCATTATCTTCTAGACAACCACAACAAATTGTTGTTACATGTCCAGCACAAATTGATGTTAGAAGAGGAGCTACAGCAGAATTATCATGTTCTGTAACAAGTGAAATACCATATACAGTAAAATGGTTTAAAGATAAACAACCAATTACAGGATATCATGATGAAAATAAAGTTTACAAGTAGGTATATTATATATTATTGTATATATAATAAAAGTAATCATGATGAATTATTTCATAGTAAAGTTCCATTGAAGTAGATCTGGTTAACGCTCTTAGTGACTTAGTTTTCTACGGAACGGAGTCGCTAACCCTATGCCCAACCTTCCTCCCTTATTCGAGCTTGGGACTGGCAGTAGCAACAGGAGGGCTCCAGGCTTAGTTATTGAAGTAGATTTACTAGGACTTATCTTTATTTCAATAAAATGACATAATATCATCATTTTTAATAGATAGCTTTATCATTAAGACCTATGATAATTTGAAATCATATTGAATTAATAATTAACTTGTTATAACAAATTTCCAAAAAAAGAAAATAACTGAGATAAGATAGTGGTTAGACGTAGCCTACAGGAAACCCGGGACCTAGGTTCCCTGCCACTCGTCAGTAAGGTGTACATTTAATCCTAAGGGAACTGATGCCCCCTTACGGATTCGATTACGTGTCACCTAGATTCACAGTCAGTGACGTTACCATTGAACCATCCGGGCCGCAATCGACCTCCTACACTAAGAAGGACGTCACACACATGACACTGATCACCACTCAGTGAAGAAAATACCTGCAGAGTACAAAATTTATTTATACTGAATTATTTACGTCATTGAATAAAACGTCTTTAACAGCTACTAATATTCTTGAGTTTATACTACCATGATGTTTTATTCTTTAACTCGGACCTCTTTACTACCAGTAAAAGTATTAAAAATTTCAAGTCAGCTTTACTTATTATAGATTCCTCTGTTCTTATAGGAACATAATATATATCAGAAGGGGATTTTGTGGATATTTCGGGATCGTGGATGAGCACTGCCGATGAGTCCCACAATAGGACGAAACAGCCATCTAGTGCTTTCAGGTTTTCCATAGTAGTTTAACTTCAATTGACTCATGATCTCATCTATTGAAATATGTATATATCACCTAATGTGAGGTTTAATTTCACACTTTCAACGTTAGGTCTATGTTATATTTACATGTTTGTAGAATAAAATAGAAATCTGTTGTTTTAAATTAACTAATTCAGAGAATGATAATTCTATATTCAATTATTATTATACTTCAGTTTCCCAACTAATGTTTTATATACAATTACTGATGTCAATGAAGAATCACATGGGATTTATTCAGTAGAAGTAATACCTACAGTTACTGATGATGAGAAAAAGATTGATGGTCAATATAAAGATGAAATATCTGTGAATATATTACGTAAGTTTATATTTGAGCAAACAAACCATTTTATTTAGATGATTTTACAATAATTATACATGAATGGTGGGAATCATTAGGAAATTGTGGACTTAGATTTTGTACTAACTAAAGCTTATAAGCATAGTAAACATATAACAATAAGAGATCTAATGGTCTACTTGGGATTACTGTGTCGTATTCAGTGGCATTACCACTTAGCTATTCAGATCTTCTATACAAATGAGACATTTATGCCAATTCGACATTGGGTGGTAACCTATGTCTGTCTGGCCTGTCTAGTCCTTACTGTTAATTCATTAGTACCGATCAAATTACAACACGACCATAAATCGATACAGAGGATTAAAAACCATTACATACATCATTGATAAGAGATCAGTCAGTGTAATCATTCATGTGGATTATTTAGCTTCGAGATGTCAATCAGGATGTTCTGTCTAAAAACCATGGATTTGTTTATCAGTAATTCGTTGCATAAAACACTATAGGGTTATCATACAAAATAGCATATTCACAAAATTTTGAAGCATTCTCAGTAGGTAATATCTTAACTTCTGCATAATTCATTACAAAATACTTATGTCGAAAGAGTAGAGATCTTTTACTTCACCTGAATATCAATGTTATGTTTTGATAAAATTTAGGACTAGAATAATTTATGGTAAAAGAATGTGTAGTGTCGGTTGCTATGTTAAGCCCACACAGTCTATTCTAACATTCGTACAGATCAGTTTATTCGTTCTTCCTAAACCATATTTTGACCCTGTTAATTACTCACTTGTCAACTTTGACTGTTTTGATATGAGCGTATAGATGTAGGCACTTCTTATCTCATTCATCACATGTCTGTGACTTATTTTTGTGCGACTATCAATATAGATTAACGCTCGATTAAATCGAGTCGGCTCACACGACTTCTTCATTGCTTGTTATTTCGCTTCGTTCTCTTTTTTCTCCATGTCTTACTGATTGCCTGTTATGACCGACAATTGTATGAAATATACGTATTCAAACATCCATTCTCGTATTTGAATTATTTGATTTCGTTATTCGCCAACGCGAGTTGAGTACGGTATGTGCTTTGCACCTTCAAAGTGCAAAGTACTTCTACAAGATTGGCAGGACTCAAATCCTGTACTCACCCTGGATGGTGAGCAGATAGAAGTAGTCGAGAAGTTCGTGTATCTAGGTAGCTGCATAAGTGCTGGTGGTGACGTAATTGATGAGATCAATGCACGTATAGTGAAAGCCAGAGCGGCTTATGCCAATCTGGGCCATCTTTGGCTCCTTCGTGATGTTAGTCTGGCTGTAAAAGTTCGGATCTACAACGCGTCTGTGAGAGCAGTCTTGCTCTATGCTTGTGAAACCTGGCCTCTCCGAGTTGAGGACGTTAGACAACTCTCTGTGTTCGATCATCGCTGTCTCTTAAGGATTGCTGACATCCAGTGGCAACACCATGTTAGTAATGCAGAGGTTCGGCATCGTGTGCCCGGGCACAGAGATGATAACCCAATTGGTGTCACCATCTTGAAACACCGACTTCGATGGCTTGAACATGTTCTACGAATGTCGTCCCAGAGAATTCCACGTCGTACATTATTTGCCGACTGTGGGACTGGTTAGAAAAAGCGGAGGGTTGGTCAGTTTATGACGTGGTGTCGTGGCATGAAAGAAAGCTGCAAAGGGCTGGCTTGCGTTTGTCCTTCACAACTCCCTGTCTGGGGTCCTAGAGATGGTGCAACACAGTGGCTAGAGACGTTATCATATATGGCTCAGAATAGCAGCCAGTGGCGATCCTGATGTAAACTTCTTTTACATTGTTCATAAAAAGTGGTTGTATCTTCCTTAACCGAAAGAATTCTTCTTATTGTACCTTTCCGTTTTCCCCATTATTATTATTACACTACCTTACACTAATCTGTGGTCGTTATCGTTTTTTTCTCTTAGACGCATCTTACCTTCTTTTTCCTCTTCCCACTCTCATTGTTTTGTGTGGTGCATATATATTTGGTGCCCCCTTGTACCAATATTTATATGTTCAAATAAATAAGTTAAAAGAAACATTAGGAACTAGAGTATCATAGACAGGGATCCAATTGTAATTGTAGTGAATACTTCTGTTGAACTGAAAACTTGGACAAAATAACACAGGTGAAACTATAATTTATGAACAACCTTTGAACGACACCAAAATGATCTTGTGAATGTTCACCTACTGATTAGAGCTAAATGAGTGTTTTAAACCTGCGTGAAAGATAACGATTGTGATTTATAGTTAATGGTTAGGGATAAAAATTAGATTTAAGGGTTTTTATCACGAACTGACTTCAGCTAAAATGCCGAGACACAATTTAACTAAATGGATAATGAATATTGTCTTATCACAAAAAATGAGATAACAGTTCAAGTTGAAGCCTTTGTTCATTTATCAAAATATACTACTTATATTTAGGAAGTAGTTTTATTTATATATTTAAATGTAACTATCCGATTTCATTTTATACAAGATAATTATAAATTGTTTATTATTATTATTATTATTGCAGCACCTCCTCCTCGTGTTTTAATACCACGTAATGCAAGTGTTGAGCCTAGAACAGATGCAATAATTACTTGTAATATATTTAGTTTAGATGAAAATATTGAAGTAAAATGGTATCGTGGTTTAGATCCAAGATTTGAATTAAAAAATGGACGTCGTCATACAATTAAATTGAATCAAGATACACCTGCAGGTGGTTTAGCATCAGCATTCACCAGTACTTTAACAATAAGGTGTGTTATATGTTATTATATTGATATAATTTACAATAGAAGAATAATTTTATATAATAATATTCATTAAAATTAAAAAGGTTCGTTATTACTATTCAAATGAATTCGAATTACTGGAGTCGACACATCGAGACATCATACTTACTTACTTACTTACTTACTTACTTACTTACTTACTTACTTACTTACTTACTTACTTACTTACTTACTTACTTACTTACTTACTTACTTACTTACTTACTTACTTACTTACTTACTTACTTACTTACTTACTTACTTACTTACTTACTTACTTACTTACTTACTTACTTACTTACTTACTTACTTACTCTAATCAATTCAGTGGTGAGACTATAATTTATCAGCGACGCTAGACTGACCTCTTGAAAGTGTCCAGCTAATAACTAGGATCAAATAAGAATTATAAATCTGTGTGATGTATTAAAATTTTAATTTACAGTTGATGATTAAGGTTAGGAATTGGATTTAGGGGTTTCATCACGAACTCACATCATCCATTATACCAAAACTCTATTTAGCCAAATGGATCAGTGAATTTCGCACCAAAATCCGATCTATGTTTTCTTATACATGATTGGTTCACCCATAAATTATAGTCTCGCCTGTGTTATTTTGCTCAAACCATTGCTTTTGTTAACTTCAAGTATAATAAAAGGAACTATGTGTATGAAGTATTATTGTTATTACCGCTAGTAAGATAACAGATATTCATTCATAAAATGAAAAAAAAAGATTGAAATTATAAAATTTTGCAGCAATTCGGAAGACTCTCCCAGTCTCCCACATAGTAAGACAATTCCATTTACCTAAATAAATGGTTGATCTGGTTGCCAGGAGGAGCACCAGCCTCGTGAATTCCGAAGGAACTCAGCTTTCACTATGAGGCGTCATAACTCTTCTAAATGAAGACCTTCTGACTCCCAGTGTAGAGTTTAGATGGTTTGAATAATGTTTTCTGGTTAGCGTTTTTTTAGGGAGTTAGTTTTATACCCCATGCTCAACCCTCCTCCTCTATCCGGGCTTAAAACCGGTAGTAGCCCCAGAAGGGCTCCAGGCGGAGTTACAATTCCAATTAATTTAGCTTTAAAACAAATACTGATTTAAATTCACTTGATATTGTTTAACTGAATCTTCCCTTTGATGTTCAGTACTGTAATTGATCAGTCTCTTATTGGCATATGTGCATACTGTGTGTATTGCTTCGATGCTGCCTTAATACACAAAAATTCTAAGCAAAAATGGATAGTGACTAGCATTGGAATCCAGGACATGCGTTTTGTTCTATTTGGGACTCGACAGTTGGATGTACCTGCATCTCGGAGTTGATCTTCACTCTGGTACATAAGTTAAGTGTGGAAAAGTAGCTCTTAAAAGTAAGTTGACTGCACAATATGAAATTGAAGGAAATACATGAACACAACTAACGAGTTAATTTTGAAGTTTTATTCTATGCTCTGTTGATTAAATTACATGGTATATTCTTATGAATGTTGATACCTTTGCTTTTATTTGTTCCTTTCAACTTTTTTATTTTACAGGTCTGCTACTGAAAGCGATTCGGGCAAGTATATTTGTGAAGCTGAACATAAAGGTGGTATAAGTGAAGCGGATGGATTCCTTATTATACATAGTAAGTACTTTTGTTAAATTGCATTTCAAATAACAAAGTAAAAGGGTGAAATGTAAGAGAAAACAGTACAGGAAATACTTTTATATCTGCTTCTATACTTTAGTGTACATATAAGTGATTTAAAAGTTTTTTTCATCATGGATTAATGTCGACTTGGAAACTCTTAAATGAAGTTAGACATTAACATTTTTAGATGCGGGCTCAGTGGTCTACAGATTAAGAGTTCCAGAAGTGGAATTGGCCTGACAACTTTTCCGTCCTGAAGAAAACTCATTACCTTTTATGACGCTAAGTTGGAATTCAGTCAGTTCACGAATACCATCTTTATTTGTTTAATCTCGGATTATTCACAGTTTATATGGCTTTCATTTGTTTAGAATGTTTTACTTACAAATTGGAGCAAATTAGAATGAATAGAGCTGAAATAAACAACACTTGACCCTTGGACATTTTCATTTTACTTTACTACAAGTCGTACGCATGAAATGAGATTTAGCTTGTTTCATCTTTGAGCAATATAGCTTATTTCATATTGTAGTACAATGTAGATACTTGAAAAACAAACAAACAACAAATTCCAAGTAATTCACTTGGTATTGTTTTACTTGAATCTTCCCATTGATGTTCAGAAATGCAATTGATCAGTCTCTTATTGGCATATTATGCATACTGTGTGGATTGCTTTGATACTGCCTTAACTCACAAACATTATAAGCAAAGATGGATGGTGGCTAGCAGTGGAATCTAGGACGCGCGTTTCGTCCCATGTTAAACTAGTCAGTTGGATGTACCTTCATCCCACAGTTGAAGTTCACCCAGGGACTCGAACCCAGCACCATTCGCTTCAAACTCCATCACGTTAAGAGACTGATCAATTACAGTCCTGAACATCAATGGGAAGATTCAAGTAAAACAATACCGTTTGAATTAAACTTCATCCCATTGCACAAGCACCTGGCTATCAGGACTCAGTAACTAAGTGGATAACGAGTTGGCGTTTGAGACGAATGGTACTGGATTCGAGTCCCTAAGTGAACATCAACTATAAGATGCAGGTACATTCAACTGACAAGTTCCAAATACGACGAAACGCGCATCCTGGATTCCACTGTTGGCCATCATCTATCTTTGCTTATAACAAATTCCAAGTTTATCTCACTCTGAATTATGTAAAGTTGTGAAATTACACTAATGAATTACTAATAATCGTTGTTATTATCATTCTATTCATTATTTATTAAGGCAGTAAATATCTATAAACCTAGATTTCGTACTAACATATGTTACATTATTTGTTTCAATGGTAATATACTACTACTATTATACTACTACTAGTAGTAGTAGTAGTAGTAGTAATAATGATAATAATAATGTCAGGGGCTAAATCTAGTTACTTTGTTATGATACTATTAAGTATTCAATAAAAATACCGTTTTGTTTCTAGATCTAAATATAGTATGTTTCTTCCCATGTTGTTTTTCTTCATTCAAGTGATTTATTGAGAAATAAGAAAAAAACGATAATTACGTAATAACAATTGCAAAATGTAATATGTAATAATAATGGTAATTATATATGAAACAATCATAATATTAGTTAAGGGTAAATAGATTACATAAATAAGTAATTGGTATATAAAAACGATTTGTCCAACCTCTCTCATATATATAATTAGTTGGCTTAATCAGGTAACAACAAAAGGATATCTCCCCAAATGCCCTGGTACGGCCGAGAGTGGGGAGAGGCCGCTCTCCCTCTCAAAATGCTCTCACATGGCCACGCGTATATAGTCTCTGCCAGGGAAGTCCTACTCAGTGCTTTCTCGTAGCATTACTGTTGTTTACGAAATTGAGAGGACAAAAAGCGAATGTCCGGCGCTTTAACCGTATTCCAAACCAATAATGAACATGAACCCCAATATCCTGAGGGAACAAATGGCGTATGAACCAATCGTTGGTCATCGGCTTCCATGGGACTGCATCTCCTTACGATGCTCCACTGCCTTGTGGATCAGACCTTCATGTCGAAGGCTCGGGGAGTGGCCCCCTAAGAAAACCACCTACTTCGGTTTGGGCACACGGGCAGTATCACAGCCCTCACACATCGAATGAGATTTGTGCGGCGCATATGTATTTGGTGCCTCCTGGTATCAATATCTATGTGTTAAAATAAATAATCCAATAGAAAAGTATAAGAATTCAGGGGTAAATGATGATTAGTTTCATGAACAACTGTTATTTCAATTGAGATGTACATTTACAAGACTTTCTTTTTTTGTAATTTATATAATAGTTAAGGTGATTATATTAGTAAGAAGAAGGGGTATTTATCTACTTTTACGTGATGTTGAGATATGCTGATGATCAGTCTTTGTTACCCATGTATGCGTTTTTTTGTTATTTAAATTACGGGTAACTTCTGAGATCTATTAATGGACTAATATGATATATATATTCTTATTGTATAACTAGTTAGTAACTAGCTAGTGTATATCTATGTTCCTCTTATTATAAGCTATATTTTGATTTATAGACTATTATGATACGATTTACCGTTTTTAAGTGATGTTCAGTTGATTGATTACAGTCTCCTACAATCAAAACCACCTTTTGACTTGATCTTGTATAAATGTTGTTTTCTTTTTTATGGTATGATGTGGTCTCTTTGGTTGGTATATAAACCAAGTGTGTTTGAAATAAATGATACGTATAGTGGAAGCTGATATTAATGTTCTGGAGCCAATAAGCAGGGCTAGACGGAAAACGGAACGATAAGGAGGCTAGGCTTCTCATTGTAATGAACAGAACACGGGTGGGGACAATCGAGTGTATTTAACACAAAATTACAGGACTTGCTAATAAAATCTAACAATCAAATAGTAATTACGTAATTTGCAAAATGTCCATCAATTGTGTCAAAATGACCCCGACTTCATTGTTCTTGCATTTTCATACAAATTGCATTCTGTTTCCATTCTTTACTGTTCAATCCTCTTGTCTCTCTGCTGCCAGACCTTCTGTTCACGACTAACATCATTTACTACTTATATCAATATAAGTAGCACACACCACAGGTTTAGTATAGTACTAAGATTGAATAAATTGTATTTCGATTGGCGAATAAATCATGTGATAAGTAGAGGCCTTAAAATTCATAACAGTTTGTCATTATGTTAGTTATATTTACGAGTTATGAATAAATTTGAATTGTGGCTAACAGCTGAATCTAGATCGAATAATCAATTCCATTTAGAACTCGTTTAATCACTCATGTTTGAGGCCACAGCTACTACGTTCAAGTCTTAAAGTGAACAACAACGCTGTGATGCAAATAAATTCATATGGTCAGTACCATGAGAGATGAAAATAACATTCCTGATATATTGGTGTTGGAGACTTGTTAGCCGGGTGTAAATTGACATAAAACACTTAAAAACTACTCAATGGTGTAAGAATCGATATGATATATGAATGTGTTGTGTTCTATCCTGCTTGAGATCATGGTTCTACATTGATGAAGATTCGCATCCCAGTATAGATAACTAATAAGAGTATACTAGTTTTTACTAAGTCTCTATATAGTTTCTATCAAATTGTTTACTGTCTAGGTTAAGAGGACCATCGCTTATGAAATGCACATTTTTTCGAGATGAATGAATATTGAAAAACAGAACAACTTGTCAATGAATATCGTATACTGACTTAATAAAGTGACACACTTAAAGACAAAATATAGAATAAACTAAGCAAGATTAGGGATCACGTAATGCCATTCAAGAGTTATTCAGAATTAGTGATTACGAGTGTAATTAATCGACATCAGAGTGTCGTTAGTCACAGAAGACCGAATATATCTCATAATGATAATGAGTTAGTCCATTCGTTAACCATATTTCGACTAATAATAGGTACTAAACATAATCATACTACCCACTTCCAAGTTCGATTTAGTGAAATCCATTCGTCCCTGTATCACTAAGTGCTCAGTACATAATTTTTTGTATAGATAGTGACAAGTAGTGGAATTCAGGACGTGCGTTTCGTCCTATTTAGGACTCGTCAGCCGGACGAAACTGAATCTCTTCATCTTCGCTTCTAAAAAAAGCCTGTAAAAATTAAGGCAATACTGAGGCAGTTCGCAAAGAATGTATATATGCCAATAAGAAATTGATCAATTACAGTCCTGAACATCAATGGGAAGATTCAAGTAAAACAATACCAAGTGAATTTAAGCTTCAACCCATTGCACAAGCACGTGGCTATCAGGATTAAGTATCTAAGTGGATAACGCTATGGTATTTAAAGTGAACAGTATTGTGTTCGAGTTCTGAAGTAAATATCAACTCTAAGATGCAGGTATGTTCAACTGATGAGTCCCAAATACGACGAAACACGCGTCCTGGATATATTTATATATTCACATACGTCAATAAGAGTGATCAATTGCAGTCCTAAATAAAAATGGGAAGATACAAGTCAACTATACCAAGTGAACTCATTAATCCTAGTTTTATTTTTTTTCTTTTCATTTAAATTACAGCACGTCCTGTTGTGAATACAGATGAAGAAATTGTAACATTTAAAGAAGGTAGTTCACTTGTATTAAGTTGTCGTTCAGAAGGAGTACCAAAACCAAAAATTATTTGGGCATATAATGATGTACCAATTACAATATCCACTGATGATGATCAACGTATAACAGTGATTGAAGAATACTTTGTACGTAAAAAATAATAATAATAATCTCACTGTAATTAGTAATTTAATATATTGAAATGTTTCTCAAGTTGAGCTACGATTTAAAGGATTCATTAATCTAACAATATTTAGTTACTTAGGGATGTTTTATCCAAGTCATTTTAAGTAAATGAAATTCTGTTCATAACTTGTTTTTACTTACTTACTTACTTGCGCCTGTTGCTCCTAATAGAGTATAGTCCACCGACCAGAATTCTCTAACACACTCTGTTCTACTCCTTTCTTTCTAGCTCTATCCAATCGTTGTTAATTCTCCTCATATCTGTCTCCATTTCTCGACGTAATGTATTCTCTGGTCTTCTTCATTTCCTTTCGCCTTGAGGATTCCAAGTGAAGGCTTGATTGGGTGCTTTCTTCAATGTATGTCCTATCCACTTCCAACGATTCTTCCTCATTTCTTCCTCCACTGGAATCTGGTTTGTTCTCTCCCACAATAGGTTGTTACTGATACTGTCTGGTCAACGGATCCGAAGTATTTTGCGCAGACAACTGTTAATAAACACTTGTATCTTCTAGATGATGGCCCTCGTAGTTCTCCAACTTTCCGCTCCAGTAAACAGTAGAACTGTCTTGACATTTGTATTGAAAATTCTGACCTTGTTGTTGGTTGACAGACAGTTGCTTCGAGTTCCAGATGTTCTTCAGTTGTAGATATGCTTTTCTTGCTTTACCGATGCGCACCTTTACATCTGCTTCAGATCTACCGTGTTCATCAATGATACTGCCCAGATATGTAAAGGTGGTTACATCTTCCAAGCCTTCTCCGTCAACTGTGATTCGATTATTACATGTTGTGTTAGCGTTTTTTAGCTAATTAGTTTTCTAAGATATGGGGTCGCTAACCCAACGCCCAAGCCTCCTCCTTTATCCTGACTTGAGGTCGGCAGCAGCCACAGAGGGGCTCCAGGCGGAGTTATCCGTAAATTGTTAGGGTTGGAGTAATATTATGATTGCAGCTAGATTTAAGTGAAATTTATTAGTTTAACATAGGTTCCTGTCCCAGAAATTAGGCTTCACCAGATGTATTGATTAATATTCTCATAGGTGAGGATCCCAAAAGAATTATTTGAGGAACTTAATAGATCAACAGAGAAACGTTTTTTGTTTAACGAACTCATTATTTTATTGAGAGCTATACGGTAACCGACCAAACATACAAGTTATAATATTTAGTTTTCCGATAGAAAAAAAACCCAATATGTTTATAGATTGACTGGTGGAAACTGTAACTCATTTGAATCCACTTAGTATTGAATCTTCCCATTGATGTTCAGGACTGCAATGGATCAGCCTCTTATTGGCGTATATGCATATTGTGTGGATTGCTTCGATACTGCCTTAACTCACAAACATTATAAGCAAAGATGGATGGTGGATTTCAGGACGCGCGTTTCGTCCCATACTAGACTCATCAGTTGGATGTACCTGCATCTCACAGTTGAAGTTCACCCAGGGACTCGAACCCAGAACCATTTGCTTCAAACGCCATCACGTTATTCACTTAGATACTGAGTCTTAATTGTCTATATAATTTGATTTATAAGTCATAGGTTTGAACTCTGTATTTCATTATTGAGCTAATTAGCCAATGAGAACGGTCATTACTCCGTTCAAGTCGTAGCGAGCTACTTTTTGTTCAATTAAATTTATAATAAACTACTTTTTTCTTGATCATAGGAGTCAAGATTAATTATTCGTCCAGCGAAATCTGGTGATGCGGGAAATTATTCTTGTATAGCTATTAATTCAGCTGGTAATCGTACAATCAATATTCTCGCTAACTTATATCACCGCCAAAAATCGATAAACTAGAAATATCTAGTCTATTGCCAGTTGAAGGTCAAGAACAAATATTTACATGCCATGTTACTGGTAAACCGAAACCTAAAGTAAAATGGGATTTTAATGGAAGTCCAGGTAAGTTATATATTCTTTATTTCATAATTAGTGTATTTTGTATTGATCTTTCCAATTAGTTCACTACATTACGCAATCAGAGAATAGGAACTATGCATTTAACCTTAATTTACGAACGTTTAGGGAAACTAGATGAGGTTAATGATAGTCATAGTTTTGTAAGTGACATCAATTGAGAAACTATTGAGAATAAACATTACAGTTAACAACTATTTCGTTTTTGGTTCAGAACTATTCATAACCTTTAACAGAATAGAGTTTTAAAGTTTTGCTCCCTTATTACCAGTGCATCATTGTCAGAACACTGACATTACTTTCGAGGCTTTGTATTTATACTCTACCAACAATGAGTAACTGTTTCATAACGTATTTCAGCTACTATCATTCAAGTTTATTTACTAGAATATCATTATTATCAGGGTTGAAAGTTTGTGAAGATTATTTCAGATCAAAGAAATCTATCTTCAATATAACGCATTATTATCAGAATGGGTTTTGTGGAGAATTTTAGAAATTTCACTGGTTGAAATCATGATTCAATTGAAGCTAGACAACCATGGAAGACTCGGAAGAACTGGACGGCCGTTTCGTCCTAGTATGGGGCTCCTCAGCAGTGCGCATTTGCGATCCGCACCTTGAGAGATTCGGAACCCAGGACGTATCAGTCTCGCGCCAGGCGCTTAACCAACTAGACTTCTCAGCCGGCACCCTACGGTGTTAATGTCTAACTTCAACCAATCCACGAAAGTTAGACATTAACACCGTTGAGTGCCGGCCGGCTTAGTGGTCCAGTTGGCTAAGCACCTGGCGCTAGACTGATAGGTCCTGGGTTTGAATCACGCGAGTGGGGCGTCGTGGATGCGCACTGCTGAGGAGTCCCATACTAGGACAAAACGGCCGTCCAGTGCTTCCAGATTTTCTATGGTGGTCTAGCTTCAATTGACTCATGATTTCAACCAGTGAAATAACGCACCAAGTTTATGAAATAAGGGATTTCTAATTTAGTCTGTACATACTTACCCCTATTCCTATAATTGAATTTATATTGATTTCTTGTTGTTGGACAAATGAAAAATGGAAAATATAAACTTATTATTTTCACTTTTAACTTAATCAGACTTCAAAATCAAACTTATTTTACATATAATGCAACCCAACATACTAAATATGATCAATGTTTAATAATTAGTGGAGAGTATTGCTTCAGCAGAGAACTGATTTTATGAGTGAACCTAGAGAACAAAGATTTACTTTACTCATAATGCGTTAGGAAGAACTTACAAGTTCATAAGCTTATTTATGAGAATTTGCACTTGACTATTCTCTGTCGGTATAAAAGGACCTTGTCTTTGTCTACAAGTTAACTATTTGGAACAGTGTCTAGAAGCGGGATTTAGGAGGAAAGTTTCGTTCTGCCAGAAACTTATCAACTGCATGTGCCTAGATTATGATAACCGTCAAACACCTAATCTGGCCTAGTAATCTAGTTGGTAACATGTTGACAATTTAAGCGACGAATAACGGGTTTGAGTTTCAATATAAACATCAACGTTAGATTGACAAGTCCTGTATATGAAGAAACGCGTTACTTGGGGACTGTTGCTACTCACTATTCAAGATGTAGTCAAAGAGTTATTCGATTGTTCATGATAAGATTCTATCCTTAGAAAAAAATCCGAGATTTGAGTAGTTCAGAGAATCGATTTTAAAGGAATTATCTTGAAAATGAATCCATTATATAATGAAGAAAAGAGGCAGTGCTATATCTGCCTCTTTATTCCCTAAGGTATCGTTTTATCTGGACTCGGCAGTATCTCTGAGCATGATTTAGTAAACTATAGGTCAAATCAGTCATGTCGTCTATCCTGAATGTCGTAATTTCCAGCTAGTAAAATTCAATGCATGAAATGCTTTGAAATATTGTTGACTCTTTTTTTTCTTAAAACACAAAGGTTACTAGTAGTCCAGGAATTCATATTGATGAAGAAAGAGGAGTACTGAAATTACTTTCAGTTCGTCAAGATATGAAAGGAGAATGGACCTGTCTTGCTGAAAGTATAGCTGGTTATACAAGAGAATCTGTACTAATGGATGTTGGATGTAAGTCACTTTTTTGACTGTTTACATTCAGAAAGAAATTATGAATGGGAATTGTTTACCGTACTCGTCACAAAATTATAGAGTTACTTAGTAAAATGGAAAAACCATTCTGTAATACTTAAATTCCAAGATGTTCATTAACTGTCTCAGACTTCATTGTCCCTGCATTTCCATACTAGTAGCTTTCTATTACTGCTTTCCTTCCTTGATCTTCTCAATCTTCTGCTGCCAGACATTATATTTCTGACTCGTGTAATATACTACTTATCTCAATATAAGTAGCACACACCAACATCATTTGTATTTGTTAACTGAAGTTTATCAACGTCTGACAGATTAACCATTCAACTTATACATGTATTTAATAAGTACTATTCTACTCATAAGTTTCGTGTTTATACATTGCTTTGTTAGACAATCATTCGTCAAGTTATCAAAAGGCAACGATTTTTTAAAAAAAGTAGTTAATATTTGAAGTCACATATATGTTACGTATACCTGAACACCGAATACCACGACCTGCAGCGCTGACGAGTGTTGAAGACGGTTGGAGGAAAGTTAGAGGCGTCCAAACCAAAAAGTGGCATCAGTCATTGAAGTCACTAACTTCTAGTTTGATCCATGTTGGTAGATGCAGAATACTTGGTTGGGATCCGCGTGACTATCGTAACCAATGGTTGGAGACTCTTGGTGATATGGCTCAGAATTGATCACAGTAACATCGGTATATACACTCTCTATCTTCCTTTAAACTGTCAGATTAAAATTACTTTATGTCTTTCTTTCTAATCATTTCTTCCTGTATTAAATCCTTAGACACAATCTTTCTTTTGTATATTACTATCATTGAATTAATTACTCCTATGAATTCGGTGTTCATCTTGTTGTGCTAATGAAGTATGGCCACTTAAACCGACGCACAACTGTGCTTGGTCCTATGACTAACTGACTGGCATATATGTTCTTACTAAACAACACTTTTACTCATCAACTTTGTCCAGGCGATATGGTATCCTTCATAACAATAAGCATTTCAAGTGAGATATAACAGAAGACAGTACCTAGGTAAGAAGTAAAATGGAAATTGCCTAACATTTGACAGTTATAATGATGAATATAGCTACTATTAATTTATCGACCTTTATTGTTTACCTTTAGTTCCACCTAAAGTACTTACAGATTTTACAAATTCAAAAGTATTAGCTGAATTTTCAATGGATACAACTTTAAGTTGTCCAATAACTGGTCAACCTCTTCCTAATGTTAAATGGTATCGTGTTACTGGTTCAGGGAATATACCATTAAATTTTGGTAATCGTTATATATTACAAGCGGATAATTCTTTATTAATACATGGTAAGTAAATTATTCAAGTGTATATCACATTCCTTGAAGTTGCCTTTATATATAACTTTTGGATTAGTATTATTATAAGTTGAAGATATAAAACAAAATATCCTAAGATTAGTTTTCTAAAGATAGTTTATATGAGAAATCGATGAAGGCTAGTAAACCACTGGGATAGATCGTTTCTTTTTTTCTCCCTAGTTTAAGACATATATGTTGGTTGTAAAATCTGAAGATAATCTATTTGTTGTCATATGTAATTATGCTTGCACAATATAACAAGGAGGATCCTCAATTTTTCTGTGTTCTACATCTATGACAAAGCGTTTTTTATTTTTTTTTAAAAAATATCGAACTAATCTTCATTTGGTATCCAATTGAAGATCTTCGTCTTGAATGAACCAAACTTTAAACTCAATAAAATTAAGCTACATTTCTAACATGAACTTATAATATGCCAGGATGTATTTGAAAAGAATAGATTGAATAGGAGAAAAACACTGACGGTTGGTATCAACAGTTTTATTTGTAATTTCAATGGTTGAGATCATGAGTCGACTGAAGCTAGAAAACCATGGAAAACTTAGAAGTACTGCACGACTATTTCGTCCTATTGTGGGATTCGTCAGCAGTGCGTATCTACAATCCCGCATAGTGAGATTCAAATCCACGATCTATCAGTCTCGCTCATCAGCGTTAACATGTAGACCACTGAGCCAACAAGCATCCAACCGCGTTAATGTCTAACTACAACCAATATGCGAAATTGAGCGACAAATTCACTATTGTCTTCTATGAGTTACTATCTCACAACAGACCCGGTTGAACTCCATTGGCCACTGCTTCTCACTGGAATTCCAGGAAATACCTCTTGAAACCAGTTAAAGGAAACCATCTAGTCATAACCTAGTACAGAACATTATCACTCGAACTGTTTAATTCATTGATGAATTAGATTCTACAGTTGAGTTCGACAAACACACCAATCATCATCATCATCATCATCATCATCATCATCATCATCATCATCATCATCATCATCATCATCATCATCATCATCATCATCATCATCATCATCATCATCATCATCATCATCATCATCATCATCATCATCATCATCATCATCATCATCATCATCACATCATCATCATCATCATCATCATCATCATCATCATCATCATCATCATCATCATCATCAATCATCATCATCATCATCATCATCATCATCATCATCATCATCATCATCATCATCATCATCATCATCATCATCATCATCATCATCATCATCATCATCATCATCATCATCATCATCATCATCATCATCATCATCATCATCATCATCATCATCATCATCATCATCATCATCATCATCATCATCATCATCATCATCATCATCATCATCATCATCATCAGTACTAGTAATTTCAATCACCAACTATAATCAAAACAAACTCACTCCATCATCAACATTCGACGTGTATTGTTTCACTTCAAAAATTAGTCGAGCTCACCAACATCATTTCCACTCCACCACATCTCCAGTCTCTGTTTCTTCACACACACACACACACACGCACACACACTCAATATATCACTTCCTGACTATTCTCATTCTATGTGAGATGTTGATTTCCTCCAAACAATACACACAGTTTCTGTATTGTGGTACAGTTGTGTTGTCATATTGTGGCTGAATTCACTTCCGACATAACAGAAATCTTTGTCGTTCTCACATAAATCACATCGATATGAAGTCTGATAGAATTGAGTAACTTTATCGATGTAACATCATTCAGTTGTTTACATGAGGTGTACTTGTACTTTACATGTTTATCGGTCTGATTGTAGTTGTATGTCACTAGATTATGAATTCTCCTTTGTCTATCTATGATATATCTTATTCTGATAAATATTTTTCATTGAAATAAACAAAGTTTTTCCTAAATGTTGAATAGTTTTCAAAGTTCATCATGTATATCAAAATATATTATCTTCCATGCATATTCGTTTATGTCTATATCAGATCGAGCTACGAAAATAATCAGCTAGATTTATGCTTAACCATAGTAGCCTCAAATAAAAGAAACATACCTGAGTGGCTTGGTTGATTATCTGAGCTACTTCTTTCTATCATTCAGATATTTCAACAAGTTTTCTGGTTCATTGTTTGTTTTAAAAGATCATTATGTCAATTTATCGTATAACCTATTCAGGTACATTTGTGAAAACTTTACAACCTTTCGCTGTAAAACTTACAAAAAAGTATATGATTGAAATCATGAGTCAATTGAAACTAGACCATCATGGAAAACCTGGAAGAAATAGAGGTAGCCGTGACCAGTGGAGCTAATCCGTATCGGATATAAACAGGTGTCTACCTCAGTACAATGGAAGATGGTCGTGCAATTTCGTGGATTGGTTGAGGTTGGGCCTTAACACCATTGGATGCCGGCTCAGTGGTCTAGAGGTTAAGCGCCTGGCACGAAACTCATAGGTCCTGGGTCCAAACCTCGCGGGGTGCGGGATGGTGGATGCGCAATGCTGAGAAGTCCCATACTAGGATGAAACGGCCGTCCAGTGCTTCCAGGTTTTCCATGGTGGTCTAGCTTCAGTTGACTCATGATTTCAATCAAATACTTAACAATCTCCACAACCCCTAAACATAAAAAAGTATCATCAGAGACATCGTGGTTGTTTACATTATTCATCGATAAGAATGAAAATTATCCAGATTTCGATTTCTCAACTGTTAACATCTAATTAGCGATCACTCAATATCGATCAAGAAATAAGAAACGGAAACTTGTCGAAATAATTTATGCTGAGAATTCTATATTGTTTAATATCAGAAGGAGCTTTTGTGGATATTATAGTAATTTCAGTAGTTGAGATCATGATTCAACCGATGTTAGACCACCATGCAGAACCTGGAAGAACTGGACGTCTTATTTGTATTTAAGTATTAATACTTTTTTGATATTTCTAGATAATATATAGAGTTGGCATCAAAAAACATCTATTCATTGTAAGATGTATGTCATTCTTTTTCAACTTTAAGTCTCACTATATAAACAAAAATGGATAGTGGCTAGCATTGAAATCCAGGATGCGCGTTTCGTCCCATTTGGCAATCGTCAGTTGGATGTACCTCCATCGTAGAGTTGATGTTCACTCCAGGATTTCACTCCAGTTGATTTCAAAATGAATAAACCTATTTCAATCAGCATTGATGAAGTTGATTTCAATTAAACATTTTTGTATAGTTAAATTATTCTTGATTTTATCATTACATATGTTTACATGAACACTCTAATGCACATGGATACTCAAAGGGGAATTTTACTTACTATTATCTATGAGAATAAAATTACAATGATGAGTATATTCGATTGTTAACTTTGATGCATTTAGAACAAAAAAAGGATTTATTGTCCAAAGTTATATCTGATTTTTGTTTTCTTCCAATATACCTTTAGATGTAAACATGGAAGATGGAGGTGTTTTCATTTGTGAAGCTGTTAATATGTATGGTAAAGTGAGTCATTCAGTCACCGTTGAAATTGGAGGCACAAGTAAGTTGTTAAACGGTTATTTTGTTTTCCCTTTTTTTAACCAGTTATGCATGATAGATAATTGGTATTCAGTATGGATATTTAGGCATTCTAATTCATAGAAATTGATAGTTGCTACGATCCTTGTTTGTTATCATGAATAAACTATTAGGTTAGTAACTAAATATTTGAATTCATGAGTCTATTAAAGCTGAACCACCATGGAAAACCTGGAAATGGCCATCCATTTCTTCCAGGTTTTCCATGGTAGTCAAACATCGATTGACTCATGATCTCAACTATTGAAATTACTATAATATCCACAGAACGTTTTCTAATATTAATCAACATATGCTCACTAGTGACTGGTTTCAAGAGGTAATTCCTGGAATTCTAGTGAGAGTCAGTGACCAGTTGAGTTCAAACAGGTTTGTTGTGAGATAGTAACTCACTGATGACAATGATGGATGTGTTGCTCAATTTCGTGAATTATTTGAATTTGGATGCCGGCTGGTTCAGTGGTCTAGTGGTTAAGCGCTGGTGCACGAGACCGATAGGTCCTGGGTTTTAATCTCGCGATGCGGAATCATGAATGATAATGATGTAAAATTAGAATAAGGCTAGTATATTGTGTCTATTAGTGCTTACTTACTTACTCCTGTTACTCCCCGTTGAGGAGTATAGGTGGCGCACCAATACTCTCCATCCAACTCTATCCTGGACAATCCTTTCCAGTTGCTATTCATCCTTTTCATGTCTGCTTCCGATTCTCCACGTAGTGTGTGTGTTCTCCCACCTTCCTCCTTTCCGTTTCCCTTCACGATTCCAGGTAGTAAACACTTTCCTTATGAGGTGGTTTCCGTAAGGTATGTCCTATCCACCAACTCCATAGTCTCTTCCTAATTTCCTCCTCATCTGGAACCTGGTTTATTATCTCCCACAGTAGACTATTGCCAGCCAAAGAATATTGGGTATCTCGTGTTGATAACTGTTTATAAATACTTGTACCTTCTTGATGATGGTGATTATTATTACTGTATACCTGTAGGTTCTGACCAACATACTGTTAACTATCTCCAATTGAAACAAAATTTACCTGAGAAAACTACTTTATCAAATTAATAAAGTGTCTCAGAGTTTGCCTCATGGACTAATCTTAGTTACAGAAATATTAAGAACCAGGATATTGTGACTAGCTAAGATGGTGAAAGTTAACAGGAAGCCCTGTACTTAAGGTTCCTTGCTACTTGGTACTCGTCAGTAAGGTGTACCTGTAATCTTGAGAAAACAAATGCTCCCTGACGGACTCAATCCCTTGTCACCCTGCTTCACAGTAAGTGACGTTACCGCCGAGCTATCCGTAGTATGACTGGCATGTCATGTATGTAAGCTTCTTTTTAGTGCTTTATTTTACTATAGAACTCCTTAGCACTGGGTATCGAAGACCTCACTAGTAATCAAACTCAGGATCTTCAGATCTCACAACTTAGCGCTTCCTGTTTATCACTGGTCATCATTGGTACATATTATAAAATTGTTGTAAACACTACATACTCCCTAAAGTAAGGATACAGTATCATTCGTTATTGTGTCTAGTCTAATAAATATAAATTTCTTCAGCTTTGAATTTATCACCATATAAGTTTTATCGTTCTTGATTGATGTGTGAGCGAGAATGATAATGATTAGTTGTCTGCTTAGTCAGACATTTACATAGTCTGACAGGTGTCAGATGAGTTAAATATTTCCTTATCCTTACTATTATTATTATTATCATTACTCACTTATTATTAATTGTTCATTGTTGTTGGATTGTGTTGGGTTTTTGGTGTAGAAATCTGTTTACGTTGTGATTAGGCTAATCACATATTCTTGATCTGAGTTGTGTTGAAGTCGTGTAGAATAGACACTGGGAGAGAATCTAGTGTAGATATATGTTTAAGGTAAATTAACGTCCCATACGTGTAAACGTAGAAACCCAACCGTTATAACATGAGACGAAGTAAAACCGATCGTAATAACAATTAACGACAGGGTGTAAAACAAAGAACTAAGAATACAAAACCACAAATTATAACATTAATGTTCTATTGTTTTGATTTTTAAACTATTTTAGAAGCTCCATCTATATCATTTACACAACCAAAACAATTAGTTCTTGTTGGTACAACAGAAAAACTAATTATTTGTAATGTACTTGATGCAAAACCAGCTGCTACTGTAATTTGGTTAAAAGATAATCAACCTATTGATATTAGAACAAGTGAAAATATTATCAAGATGGATTTAACTTAATTATACGTGATATAGAAGTAAGTATTTATTGATTTGAATGTATTAATAATTATATATTCAATTGAAATCATGAGTCAATTGAAGCTAGACCACTATAGAAAACCTGGAAGCATTGGATAGCTGGCCGTTTCGTCCTAATATGGGACTCCTCAGCAGTGCGCATCCACTCATGATTTGAATAAAAAAACTTAGTAATCTCCACAACCCCTAAACTGATAATTATATTTAAGTAGATCAATGTTAAATTTATCAGTTTCAATAGTGTTGCAACTTGAAGTCCGGTTAGTTATTATGTGATTTATTGATCAATAGAAATATGAATTATACAATTGTGGTATTGTGCTAAACTAATGACATTCGACTGGTATGAGCAGCCTAGCCTCCTCATTGGTCCTTTGCTCTTTTAGCCCCCTTATCGTCCCCTTTTCTGTCTAGCCCTGCTTTTTGAGTCCAGAACACTAATACCAGCTTCGATTATGAGAATCATTTATTTCAAACATACTTGATTTATATACCAACCAAACAGACCACATCGTACCATCAAATAGGAAACAACATTTGCATAAGAATTAACCAAAAGTGTCTGTGAATGTCAGATGGTATTTGATAGGCTGGGTCGAACTCGAGAATGGTAAATCGCATTATGATAGCCTTTATATCAAATAAAGCTTATGATAAGAGGGACATGAATATGCATAGTTTAGTTACTTAACAATTATACGATAAAAATATACGTATAGTATTGGTCCATAATTGGATCCCAAAAGTTATTATTCATTATTCTCATCGGGATGTAACAACATAACCATATATCGGTATCCAACATACTCAAATCGGTGTATTGATCCTAGCCCTTCACATCTTTTCAGAAGAGCTCTCAAGATGATTAAATCTGAAGACAAGCTGAAAGATAAAGATTATATATATTAACTATCTTACAACTTAAGAATTTTCCCATTATTATTATCAAAAATATATTAAAACAAAACTATCCTTCTTTAAACAACAATTCTTATGAAATTTCTTAAATCGTTACTGTGGTTTTGCCTTAACGCCAAGGTAAAACAGAAGAATTACGACAGATTTTGAAAACTTGTGGAATTAGAGCTTTCTATAGGACAACCATTACTCTTAAAAACGCTTTAGTTAGAATAAAATATGAGATCCCGTTTACATCCATCCAAAATTGTGTCTACATAATAAGTTGTGCCGAATGTAATGTGTTCTACATTGGAGATTCTGCCCGTGAGATCTTGACTCGGGTGAAGGAATACGTAAGTTGCACAAAAAGCCATAATAAACCTATAGAATTGAAAAATTTACAAGTCAGTAATATCAGTACATGTTATTTCCAAAATAATTCAGAAAGATTCTTTCATCTATAAAAGGAGTAGAATAACCGAAGTGATTTATATAGTGCTCAATCTCTCTGGCCTCAATAGGAGGAAAGAAGGCCTGACTGCTCATCCAACCTGGACTGTTTCTTCAAATAACCACATTTGACCCTATTGAGTTTCCACACAATCTGCGCATACACACAGACCCAATTTCAACTCCACTACTTCATATATTTTTCATACCCACTATCTGACGCATAAACTTATACGGTTATATGTAACACAGCAGAATCACCTTGACCGAAAATAACATGACATTGACATGTTCAGACCTATTATGTTTTTGATTGTATTAAAAATATTCCTCATTGTTTCCTTTGTACTATTTAAACTTGTGTTGATATTATTTCATTTATTTATTTATTTACCCTGTGGAAGTCACTAAACGTCAGAAATACAATTTTCTACTCATTGGGATATGCTCAGCAGTGCGCATCCACGATCCCGCACAGGGATCAAACACAGGGTCTTCTGTCTCGCGCACGAACGCCTAACCTCTTGACCCCTCAGACGGTAGATCCTGGGATCGCGTTTCTCCTGAGAGATCGTGGATGGGCGCTGCTAAGGAGTACCATACTGGGACGAAACGGCCGTCCAGTAGTTCCAGCTTTTCAATGTTAGTCTAACATGGATCGGATCATGACTTTATTTAAAATTCAACAATCTCCACAACTCTATTTCGATAATACTAAGATATTTAATGCAATTAGTCACTTTTACAAGTTTTGATAGGACAATGAAAGTAAGGAGATGATCTGGAAAATTCTATGTAATTGAGCTACATATTCTAAACAGTTTGATCACATATATTAAACGGCCGTTTTGTCCTATAGTGGGACTCCTCAGCAGTGCGAGATTCGAACCCAGAACCTACTGGTTCTGCGCGCGAGCAGTTAACCAATAGACCACCAAGCCGGCAACCAACAGTAGTAAATGTCTAAATTCAACTAATCCACGAAATTAGGCGACACATTCACAGGGGCGAGGTCGTGGATCCGCATTGCTGAGTAGTCCCACAATAGGACGAAACGTACGTCCAATGCTTCCAGGTTTTCCATGGTGGTCTAGCTTCAATTGACTCATGATCTTAATCATTGGAATTACTATAATACCCACAAAACCCGTCTGATATTAAATTGAGATATGCTCAAGAAACTCATATATCAACAGAAACTGATGAAATATTGTCCTACTTATCAATAAGTGGTTGATATAAACCTCTATAGAAGTAGTTTGTTTGTTGAAATTGTGATATCGGTGCCAGTTAGAATCAATGGACAATGTAATTGTCGTAAATTTAAACGAACTTATTTTGATAGAGCTTGATTATCTGAACTGGATAGTTTGGTCGTGGAGCTTTGATCTTTCTTATTAACAAAATCATTAGCGCAAACTTCAAGACAAGCTGTGAACCACATGTGGAGAAATTCAAACACTTCACTTCTATCTGAAGTTTGTGCTGATGATGTCGTTCAGAAGAACGATGAAATCTCCACGACTAAACCATCCAGTTCAAAGAACAAAACTCCATCAAAATCATCCACCTAAGCTACAAATCTTCTCCACCATCTCAACACCAACTGATCTTAATGCTATCCGATTCGTTAGTAGGTTTCATTTGATTCATACCTATTTGAATAATCTAAGTTTATTATTTTCGTCCAAAGAAGAAACTAATTCACAAATGGATCATTCTTTATCATTCTGAGGTCAACTTATTATCAATGTTATTCTATATTAATATGTTATCTCTAAATTTTACATTCTATTCTTTTAGATAGAAGATGAAGGGATCTATACTTGTATTGCACGCAATGTAGTTGGAAAGGCTAAATTTGATATTGAATTAGATGTACAAGGTAAAGATTCTGTTGTATTATAGATATTTATTTATTTATTAATCTAACTAATAAATAATCAAGGCTGAAAATACAATTCACAAATTGACTAATGATGTTACATTTCCATTCTTCCATATAAACTAGTAGTCGATGTAACCTTAGAATTGATAACGATCAGTCGTATACTGTGGAACATTAGAATATCTTATAATTACTAGTGTTGACAGTTGACAAATGAGATTCAAATAACTAAGATTTGGTATATTTACAATATTCAAGGCAGAGAAACTAGACAACTGATTACACTACCACTACATAGAAGAATGATAGCGAACTATAATGTTTATAAACTAAAGATCGGTTATAATTAGATTTATGTATGTGTCCGTTTAAATACACTTCTTGTCATATGAAAGAGCTGTAGTGTGGTGTCGAGTCGCAATTGACTATGATCACCACTACAAGAAGGTTGCGTACCAGATATCAGAAGGCGATTAGAGGTTGTAGCGAGATATATTTGTTGACGATCTCGTGGTATCGAAAGAATACCGAGATTGTGCCAAAAGAGTATAAGCGAAATCACTGATCAAACGTAAGTGCGTGCAAGGCCACAATCAACAGAAGGAAGAGTGTCTTTAGTACAGTTAAACAAACAGGTACAGCAAAACAATCACTGGTACAATTGGTTATAATAATAATTGTTTCCATTAAAACAATCACGTTCTCTTGATAAAAGTAGGTCACTACAGAGCCTTGCTCAATCATCCTAAAAATATGGTAGCATTGTAGTGAACAACGATTTGATGGAGATAATCAATTCAATATTTAGTGTAAAATTACAGAGTTTCTTCTTGAATTATGAAAACTATACAATCAATACTTTATTTGTACATGTTCCATCAGTTGTCCTGTACATTCTTCATGATTCTTTAATTCTGTTTTTAACACGCGTCCTGGATACCACTGCTAGCCACTATCCATCTTTGCTTTAAATTCAGTAATCAGTTTCTTTATATTTTTTTCAAAGAAAGTCTGTAACTGCTCTCTCTCTCTGTCCCTCTGTATATATCCTATTCATCACATGTCTGTAACTTATTTTTATCTGGCTATAAATATTGATCAGAGCTTGATGAAATGGAGTTGGTTCACACGCCTTCTACATTAAGCGCCATCTCGCTTTGCTTTCTTTTCTTCGCTTCCTTCACTTCGTCCCTCTAATTGTCTGTCCAAATCAATGAGTGTACAAAGTATATGTATTCAAACATTCATTCTCATAATTGACATATTTCATTCTGTTATTCATCAACACGAGTTAAGTCCATAATTATATACAAGATCGATAATATGTATATTTCGATAGCAATCATTCAATAGCGATCAACATATGATCTAATTCGAGTCAGATCTCAGGCCACTAAAATAATACTTTTGATCAATTTAAGTTATATATATAGCCAATTTATCCAACAGTGTTTAAATGGGATTATCCATATAATAGTTCACTAAAATAATCCTAATTTATTCTTTAATATCATTTCAACGTGTAACACTTCTATAGTTCATTATTCAATTTGATGAACTCAATAACATTTTGTTGTTAAAACCCAAATGAAGAATTATTTACTTATGCTGGTGGAGTTTTATTCTCTGAGCTGGATGGTTTGGTCGTGGAGCTTTCATCGTTCTTCTGAACGAAATCATCAGAACAAACTTCAGATAGAAGCTCCACGACTAAACCATCCAGCTCAGAGAACAAAACTCCACCAAAATCATTCACCTGAACTACAAAACTTCTCCACCATTTACTTATTCTATTTTAGGAAAACCAAAGTTTTTAGATTCATCTATTGGAGGTAAAATTGATGTGACACAAGGTGATAATTTAGTTTTGGAATGTAAAGTTGAAGGTGATCCAAAACCAATTGTTGAATGGCGTAAAGATGGTAGAATAATTTTACCACAAGGACCTGGAACAAGTACCGGGACATTGTATGGATCAAATATGGGTTCAATTGGACCGGCTATTGTTATTTCACCTGATGGATATACATTGACAATATATTCAGTTACAGAAGCTGTTACTGGAAGTTTCACATGTTCTGCTATTAATGTTCATGCAATTGAATCAAAAGAATTTGAAATAAGTGTTAAAAGTAAATTTTTTTTAAAACAAACTTATCAAGTTGTCAATTATTCGACTTTTATTGAAATCAGAGTGTAGATTGTAGTAATTTCAATGGTTGAATTCATGAGTCGATCTATGGTAGATCACCATTGGAAATCTGAGAGCACTAGGTGGCCGTTTCGTTCTAGTAAGGGATTTCTTAGCATTGCGGATTGTGGATGCGCAGGATGAAACAACCGTCCAGTGTTTCCAGGTTTTTAATGATCACCTACCTTAGATTGACTCAGGAATTCAACTATTTTATTGAAATACTAAACTTGATGAAGGTTAAGACATTAAGAATACAGAAGTAAAAGAAATATAAACAAATGGAGTCTTGCTCAAAATCTTAGAAAATTAATCTTTCAATAACCTAAACATTGTAATAAAGATTTCCTGTTTTAGATTCATTACGACTAAGTAATCGTATACATTTACCTAATGTACTCATTCATGCACAAATTATACTGTCAAGCTAATTACTTTCAAACTTCACTGGTTGAAATCATGAGTCAATTGAAGCTAGACCACCATGGAAAACCTGGAAGCACTGGACGGCTGTTTTGTCCTAGTATAGGACTCCTCAGCAGTGCGTGTTCACGATCCCGCCCCCCGCGAGATTCGAACCCAGGCGCTTAATCAACTAGACCACTGAGCCGGCATCCAACGATGTTAATGTCTAACTTCAACCGATTCACGAAGTTGCGCCACCGTCCACCACTGTCTTCCATGAGTTCCTATCTCACAACAGACCTGGTTGAACTCCACTGGTAACGGCTTCTCACTAGAACACCAGTAGTATCTCCTGACGAAACGGCCGTCCAGTGCTTCCAGGTTTTCCATGGTGGTCTAGCTTTAATTGATTCATGATTTCAACCAGTTAAATTTCTAAAAATCTCCACAAAACCCATTCTGATATTTTCAAATTCACTGAACTAATTTCATTACATACAGTTTATTATTATTATTAATAGCTTCCGTTTCTTATCTCTTGATCGATCCTGACGATAAATCATGAATGGTTGCTAGTTAGATATTAGCACTTCAGGAATCGATATCTGGAATAATGTACATTCTTTTCAATGCATATTGCCAGCAATCATGATATCTCTGATTAGGCTCTTTTATAAGTTGTACATCAAAATGTAATAAACTTTTTGATGGAGTTTTGTTCTCTAAGCTGGATGGCTTGACCAAAAAAATACATTACATCGGATAAAGCGGACGCTCTCTTCATCTTCCCCTCCACGAACATCAATTAGCAGTACTTTCTTTATAACTGGTAAAGTGAAAGGTTGTAAACCTTTCATAAAAACACCTGAATAGGTTATACGATGTATTAAAACAAAAGAAAAACCGATTTGTTGAAATATCTAGATGATAAGAAGGAATAGGTTGTCCACATTATCATGTAGATCGTCAGCGACTGTTTTTGTGATTGCTTATTATTGGATAAGGAAATAGTCTTTAGTTAATTTCATGTGCTTATCTTCAATCTAAAAGTTGTCAATGATCATTTATTACAATCCCTATGTTTTTTTCTTTCTCAGCACCACCTGTTATATCAAAAGAGGGTAGTAGTGAATTTGAATTGGGTAATCAAGAAGTTGGTTTATTAACTTGTATTATTGCAATTAGTCAACCTCCAGCTAAAGTAACATGGTATAAAGATGGAAGACCATTAGAACATATTCCTGGTCGAATTAATTTTCTTGATCATGGACATACTGTAGTAAGTTCAATTGGAATGCTTGAAATGATTTTCTATGAGTTGAAGCTTTTGTTTTTCTTCCAATTATAATCATGTGTAAGATATTGTTTTAAAATGAATTTTGTAAGTGACACTGTGAACATATGAAGAGGATCTAATTACAAGAAACGTATTTTTTTTAGTATTAGGGTTGTGAAAATTGTTGAATTTAGATTTATATCATGAATGTATCAATGTTAGATTACCATTGAAAACCTGGAAGCACTGGAGATTAACACCGTTGGATGCTGACTCAATGATCTAGTGGTTAAGTGTTCGCATACAAGACTGAAAGCCCTGGGTTCTATATTCCACGAGCAGGGTCGAGGATGCGTACTGCTGAGGAGTCCTACAATAGGACGAAATGGTCGTCCAGTGCTTTCAGGTTTTAATGATTGTCTAACACCAATCGGTTCATGATCTCATTCAAAACGTTATCTAATGATTCTAAAGTAGAGAACAGTTTGAATAAATGTCCAAATATATATTACACAATATTACTTCAGTAAGTATTGTTTCACATTGAAAAAATTTAGGAAATACGTGGTAAAAATGAAGAAGACTCTGGTTCATATGAATGTCGTGCTGAAAATGTTGCTGGGATAGATTCTAGATTTTATCAAGTAACAATATTAAGTAAGTCAGTAATAATAATATTGATTTTTTTAATACGTGTATCAGTTATTCACTTTGGGTATTTTACAAGGTGTAGGAAGTGATTTCTTATGGATACAATTGTAAACTATTCTCTAGATTGTTGAGCACATCGTCTTAGTTTAGCCGAAGTCAAAACAAGTAAGCTATTTGACTTGATAAATTACTTGTTTCTAAAACATAAATTAATACTATAAGCAAAGATATGTAAACGTTTTATTGAATGATTTGTTATTGTTAAGCAAAGATGGATAGTGAAGAGCAGTGGAATCCAGGACGCGCGTTTTGTCCTATTTGTGACTCGTCAGTTGAATGTACCTGCATCTCAGAGTTGATGTTCACTCCAGGACTCGGACCCAGTACCTTTCGCTTCAAACGCCATTGCGTTATCCACTTGGCTACTGAGTCCTGTTAGCCACTAGCTTGTGTAATGTGGTAAAGTCTAATTCACTTGATATTGTTCACTTGAATCTTCCCATTGATGTTTATGCCTGCAATTGATCAGCCCCTTATTGGCATATATGCATACTGTGCTCATTGCCTGGATATTGCCTGAATTCACAAGCATTATAGGCAAAGATGGATAATGCTTGTAACTTAAAGCAATATTATGACAGTCCGCACAGGATGTACATATGTCAATAAGAGACTGATCATTTACAGTCCTAAATAAAAAAGATCAGTCCAGAGAAGGGTTCTTGATATTTGGCAGCGAAAGTGAGGTACATTCGGTCACTGAGCGTGGACAGACAGGCACTCAACCTACTGACTACTAAATATGTGATTTCCCTTCTTGTTATTCATCTCTACACTGAACTCACTGAGTGTGACTGCTTGTAATTACGTTGAACATAGTACTATCTAGTCTTTATTCTGGATTGTGAATCCTGGATATAAAATAACGTGACTAGTCTGATCATCGTATTAACGTATTATCGAAGAGTGCCGGAAAATGAGGGAGAATAAAACATTTTTAACCATTTGTTAACACTGACGTAATCATACTTGATGGAGAAGCTCTGTGGAATCTTTCACGTATCTAGTCAGCTGCATCATCTATGAACAAGGAGGATTGGATGCAGATGTAAAGGAAGAACCTCATTCTTACAATTAAACAAACAACATATGCAAACCAGATGCAATCAGAAACAGCCTACTTTAAGAGATAACAAACCAGATTCAATCCAGCTGCAACTGTGACTTCCAATATATATAAAATCAACAATCGTATACCCTTTCTCAAATATTTGGAATTTGTTATAAAATTATGAATGTTAGCTATTCAAAATACATGGCTTATTTCTGAACATGAGGAATTATTTTATTGAATTGTTCAACAATCTTACAGAAGTAAATTCTTTCATTGCTTTAAAATTCTTTTTTTCTTACCTCATATTAAATTCTAGTTCCTCCAGAGATTACAACAATTGGAACTTCTACTCGTCGACTTGTTCAATCAGGTCATAAATTAGAACTTGAATGTGGTATGACTGGTTATCCTGAACCAAAATTAACATGGTATTGGAATGGTAAACCATTATCTAGCAATGATGATCAACAAGAAACTATAGCATCTAGTTTAGGCATGCAAATAATTAATATGAATCCTGAAAGAAAAGATTTATTTATACAAGAAATGAGTACTGCTTTACAAGGAAAGTAAGTATTATATTTTTAATACTGAAGCTTCGATTGTATCTTTACTATAATAATTCTACTTATAAGTTTCTGGTTAACATTAATTGCACGGCCATTTTATTATTCTTTTTCGTGTCGGATAGAAACAGGTGTCTACCTCAGTACAATGGAAGATTGTCGCTCGATTTCGTGGTTTGGTTGAGGTTAAACATTAACACCACTGGATGCCGGCTCAGTGGTTTGGTGGTTGAGCGCTCGCGGGCGAGATTGATAGGTTCTGGGTTCGAATCTCGCGAGGTGGGTTGTGGATGCGAACTGCAATAGGACGAAATGGCCGTCCAGTGCTTCCAGATTTTCCATGGTAGTCTAGCTTCAATTGACTCATAATCTCAACTATTGACATAACTCAATACTTATAACCACACGAAAATAAGTTAAAGACATGTGATGAACAGGTTAAGCAATGGACACAAGTACGCTCATATAAAAACAGTCAAGGTTAATTAACGAATAACTGAGACGGTTAAATTACGAATCGAGAAGAACAAATAAATTGGTCCGTTCGGAAGCTAGAACATTCCATGTGAATTTGATGTAGCACTAGACAAAACAACTTCTTACGGTAACTTTTATTTCTCAAATAGTACATTTGGTTGACAACCCAATGATGAAATTCACAAATAATTTCATAGTAATACTGTTTCTGTGTCTACTCACACCTTTCCTCTTTCTCCTGATGATCGACTGGATCATGAAGACGTCTACATCTGAGAGGAAGTATGGGATACAGTAGAGAGGTAGCATGCAGCTGGACGATCTAGACTTCGCAGATGATCTGGCTCTTCTATCGTACACACAACAACATATGCAAAAGAAGACCAGTGTAGCAGCAGCCTCAGCAGCAGTAGGTTTCAACATACACAAACGGAAAAGCAAGATTCTCCAATACAACACAACATGCAACAATCAAATCACACTTGACGGAGAAGATTTGGAAGATGTAAAAACCTCTACATATTTAGGCAACATCATTGATGAACACAGTGGATCTGATGCAGATGTGAAGACGCGCATCGGCAAAGCAAGAGAAGCATATCTACAACTGAAAAAAATCGGGAACTCAACATAACTCTGTCAACCAACACCAAGGTCAGAATTTTTAATACAAATGTCAAGACAGTTCTACTGTCTACTGGGGTGGAAACTTGGAGAACTACGAAAGCCATCATCTAGAAGATACAAGTGTTTATTAACAGTTGTCTGCGCAAAATACTTCGGATCCGTTGACCAGACAATATCAGCAATCAATCTACTATAGGAGAGAACAAACAAGATCTCAGTGGAGGAAGAAATTAGGAAGAAGCGTTGGAAGTGGATAGGACACAAATTGAGGAAAGCACCCAACCAAGCCCTTATATGGAATCCTCAAGGCTAAGCAAAGGAAATGAAGAAGACTAAAGAACATATTACGCCGAGAAATAGAGACAGACACGAAAAGAATGAACAAAAATTGGATGGAACAGGGAAGGAAGGCCCAGGCGAGAGTGGGTTGGAGAATGCTAGTCGGTGTCCTATGCTTTATTAGAAGTAATAGTTGTAAGTAAGTAAGTGACTGTTTCTGTGCCGTGTCAACATTCATTGCTTTGAAAATGCTAACCAAAGTGACTTTGATTTGCCACCTAATTAAGTTTGTTGTCATCTAATAAACATTCAATTTTTTTATAAAAAGAGTCTTTTATTAAATTTTCTTATTTAGCTATACATGTAAAGGAATGAATAAAGGAGGTTCGACTGATTTAACTTATGAAGTTATTTTACTTGGTATGTTTTTATGAACAATTTTATTGATTTAACATATACCCTAGAAACAAACGTTTTATTATTTTTTATAAAGATTTAGTCCATTTTAAGGTAATATGATACTAACTACATTTAAACTTAGTAGTTAAATGGTTATGTGTAAACACCCTGGTACTCGAAAGTTCTAGATCAGATACTACTATTGGCACAATTGCTACTACTGTGGTGGGTGCTACTCATATTGACATAAGTAGTATGGTTTTTCTATTTTACCAAGTAACTCTGTAATGTTGTGCTAAATATAATTTGGTTGTCCTCACCTGTGTTCTCCTTCACTACACTACCATTACGAATGAGAAAAAAATCTAAACTATAATGGATCACCTGTGTTCTGATTTTGTCAATCATGATATAAATATGTTACTGAATTCTAAATGTTTATATCCATTTACTGAATGGACTAAACTTTAAATGAACTACTGTTAGAAATTTTTATCAGAAGGAGTTTGTGGAGATTTTTAGAAATTTTCACAGATTGAAATCATGAGTCAGTTGAAGCTAGACCACCATTGAAAAGCTGGAAGCACTGGACGGCCGTTTCGTCCTAGTGCTTCCAGGTTTTCAATGGTGGTCTAGCTTCAACTGACTCATGATTTCAATCTGAGAAATTTTTAGCCTAAAAAAGATACAGCTTTCCAGTATTTACTGATATTCATAAACTGTTCAGATGGTGTTAACTGATTAAGCCTACTTTTAGATAATACAGTCTTCATGAAATTATTTCGGATAGACAAGGAGAGTCCACTTAGGGTTTGATTTCTAAAATGACTGTTCATTCAAGCAGCTAACGACTACCATACTAGTTACATTATGATTTAGCTGTTTAATGCTTTCAGGATTTCACTCGTGTGCTAACTAAGACCAGTTTTCTATGTAAATGATGAAGATTGTTCCATCTTCAATAAACCCCTATATTAATAAAATTCAAAACTGTATTGAATATAATTGAGAACGACTTAACAAAGTAATGAAATGAAGTTATGACTAAGATAACTAATAATTAAATTCATTATTCAATGAATCATAACATGCAGTTATGTGATTTATAGATTACATAAGATGGTGGGTGATTTTGATGGAGGTTTGTTCTCTGAGCTGGGTGGTTTGGTCGTGGAGATTTCATCGTTCTTATGATCGACATCATCAACACAAACTTCAGACAGAAGTGAAGTGTTCGGATTTCTCCACATATGATTCACAGATTGTCCAATACATCAATCGGAGATACAACAAAAACAAAGAAGTAAACAATGACTGATTTAAGGTCAACATGAACCACATGTGGAGAATTTCGAACACTTCACTTCACTACCTGACGTTTGTGCTGATGATGTTGTTCGAAAGAATGATGAAATTTCCACGACCAAACCATCCAGTTTAGAGAACAAAACTCCATCAAAATAGATTACATATCAATAATTGAGAACTGATAAAACTTTGTTAATAAATCTTACAACGGTTACCTAAGCAATATTAATGATAATGTAACAGTTATGCAACAGCTAAAAGACAACCAAAACTTAGAAAATATTAGTAGGAAAGAAAGGAATAAGTTTTTATAACCCACTTAAGTGATGGCAACTTTGATGGCTATGGTAAAGAGAGTGGTTTTACAAATTTATCATAAACAGAGAAGTGAGGATCGTTAAAATGAGTGCAGTTGGCTTATATTATAATATTCTCATGACTATAATTATTGCTAACATTACTACTATCTCAAGTAGTTCAACATAATATTTTTCGTACAGTGCGTTTTACTCACATGGTTTATTTCACTGACTGTAATCCCGGCTGGGCCCGTACTTTACCCCCAAATGCCCTGGTATGGCCGAGAGTGGGGAGAGTCCACTCTCCTTCTCGAAATGCTCTCACATGGCCACGTATATACAACCAATCCCAGGGAAGTCCTACTCACCGCCTTCTCGTGGCGGGGGTGTTGTCTACGAAATTAAGAGGACGAAAAGTGAAACTCCGGCGCTTTAACCGGGTTGCTGGATACGGAGGGTCCATCAAGAGTAGTTGGGAAACCCTTATTCCAAACCAGTGGTGCACATGAGTTCCAGTATCCTGAAGTGACAAATGGTGTATAAACCTATTGCTGGTCACCGGCTACCATGGGACTGCAGCATCTGACGTGCTCCATTCCCTGGTGGATTTGACATTTGGGTCAAAGACTAAAGCTATGGCCACCAAGAAAACCACCTGCTTCGATTTGGCACCACGTCAGTATCCCAGCCCTCACACAAATCGAATGATTTATGTGGTGCATATGTATTTGGTGCCTCATTGTACCAATGTTTATGTGAAATCGCTGAAATGAAACGTTTAGAAGCTTATTATCTAAAGTTTAAATGAGTGAAGGAATTTATTTACTTGAGACAAAGTACATGATTATTAAAAAATATGTTAAATATGAAGAATACTAAATTCAGAAAAGAATTTAAACCCTGAACATGATGAAAAATATAAGTAATTTATTTTCCTACATGATCTCGCACGAGGCCGAAGGTTCTGAATTCACATCCCTCATGAGGGGTCATAAATGCACACTGCTGAGGAGTCCTATACTAGGACGAAATGGCCGTTCAGTACTTTCAGGTTTTCAATAATGGTTCACCTTTAGTCGATTCGTAAATTCAACTATTAAAATAAAAATAAATCAGTAATTACTTACTACAATTTTCATAAACCCTCATTCTACTAAATTGAATTCTATTTTCATTTCATTTTTATGTACCATTTATATGATTAGAAAAACCTCGAATAGATAGTTTAAATGAAAAAGCTGTTGTATTTGTCAATAACACAATAACATTAACATGTGAAGCTACAGGCAGTCCATCACCGAATATTACATGGTTATTTAAGGGAAAACCACTTGATTTACACAATGATCCAGGTTATCGGTAAGTGAACAACTATCTATTTACCTACCTACCTACCTATCTATCTATCTATCTATCTATCTATCTATCTATCCACACATCTATCTATCTATCTATCTATCTATCTATCTATCTATCTATCTATCCACACATCTATCTATCTATCTATCTATCTATCTATCTATCCACACATCTATCTATCTATCCACACATCTATCTATCTATCCACACATCTATCTATCTATCTATCCACACATCTATCTATCTATCTATCTATCTATCTATCCACACATCTATCTATCTATCTATCTATCTATCTATCTATCTATCTTTGTTTGAATAATACTTCTTTTTGAATTTTGACCATATAGCTCTTGAAAAATGTAGTAAGTAAATATTTGGTTGAAAAATAATTAATATGATGTGGTGTGTGCTACTGATATCGATAGATATAAGTAGTATGTATTTATCAATCAAAAATGAAATACTTCGAAGCAGAAAGTTAAGATCAAAGAAAAGTGGATGAGAACATTGAATGATAAATACGGAATTAAAAGAACAATGAAGTCTAAGACGATTGATTGACATTTTGCAAATGAAGTATGTACTGTATAGTTCTCAGATTTTACTAAGATATTCTGTAAAATCTTGTGTTCAATTACATTTGGTTGTTCTCATTGGTGTTTTGATTCACTACAATAACACATTATACATGAAGACTATTTCAATAATATGAGCTTTTTATCAAAAATTATTATCAGGGTAATGTATTTATTACAATATAAAATGATTTTAGTGAATGTTTAAAGAGTTTGGAGAGTGTATGATCATTTCGAAGCTTATTCATTACTGACATCACCTACATTTTTATAGATTAACTAAGTCTTGGAAAATAAACTAACAGTTTTACATGTTTTTAAAAGTATCTGTGGAGTAATACTTCTGTTTAAGTTTCATCAGAAGAACAACGTGAACTATTTTCAGTCATCTGTGAGAGTAGAATACTATTCAGTAATTGATAATGAATCATACTTACTTACTCCGGTTACTCCTCGTGGAGGAGCATACGCCGCTTACCAGCACTCTCCATCCAACCCTCACCTGAGTAATTCTTTCCAGCTCTTTTCAGTTGTTATTCTTCCTTTTCATGTCTGCTTCTATTTCCCGACGTAATATGTTCTTTGGACTTCCTCTTTTCCACTTCCCTTCAGGATTCTAAGTTAGGATTTGCCTCGTAGATGATGAATCTGAGTAATTTTTCTGGTTAGCGTCTTTTTAGCGAGTTGGTTTTCTATGGGTTCAGGTCGCTAACCCAATGGCCAACCCTCCTCTTCTATCCGGGCTTGGAACCGGCAGTAGCACCAGAGGGACTCCAGGTGAAGTTGGATAATGAATCTAGTACTCTATTTTTGGGATGAAATCGATTTGTAATATGACATTATGTAGCCATTTAGTATTTCTTGATTTTCAGTCATAATTGTCCTGTTATCGGTTAGTAATGAAAATTTAATTTCAAATTAAATGATAATATTTAGGAAACTGTTTAACTGAATATTGTTTGAACATACTTTGACCTTGAAAAAGGCATCACAAATACATCTAACGTACCAAGAACCATTTTAAAGTACTAATTGTACGCCTCTTAGACTTTCCAAGCCTTAGTGGTCAGTGTAATGCAATTAGTTGTGAGACTATAATTTATGGACGACCTTTGAGTGACACTACACTGACCTTGAGAGTGTCCACCTAATAACTAGGACCGAATGAGGGTTATGAAACATTGTGTGTGATTAAAATCATGATGTTCAGTTGATAGTTACGGTTAGGAATTAGATTTAGTGCTATCATAACGACTTGACATCATCAATAATACAAAAAGTCAATTTATCCAAATGAATGAGTTAATTTCGCGCCAAAACTCGAGTCCTATTATCTTATACCTGATTGATTCGTCAATAAATTATAATCTCATTTTTTATGAGGAATTTATTAAGGTTAGTAATAATAAACATAGACTTGCCTTACTTATTATGAAATATTTATGAAAACAGGTATATTACTACTGTCATATTCCTTTAATTTTAGCTTAGTTGGTCCAAAAAATTTAATGCTTTTATCAGCAAGACCATACCAAGGTGGAGAATATGAATGTATTGCAGAAAACGAAGCAGGAATAGCTCAAGCACTAACTATTTTAACTGTTTTCGGTAAGTTATATTAATGTTTTTAAACATAGTCATGTTTATAATGATAATGTACTCAGCGAAGATTTATGCTACTGAATTAATTTCAGTAGTTGAATATTTTCAATAGATCTTTCAAACTACTAATCAATAGTTGAGTGTTATAGATAGTATTCAATGTCGAACATTGTTGATTACCCGACACTAATTTGTTAATTAATAATAAACTGTTGATTAGTTGTTGTTACAAAACTTTGTGGAAGTCTTATAGAAAAACTATCATTCTGTATTGTTATATACACAGGTAAACAGATCATTTTAAAGAGAATTACTAGATAAGAAAATGCTGGTCTAATGATAAATTAATATTTTATTCTATGGTTGCATAGATCTCTAATGTACATATAAATTAATTATCAATGTCTTACAAACGGATAGTACAATTAGAGTATTCCATATTGTAAATTTGTCATTATTAAGCTTGTGAATTTCAGTAAATATTTCTTAAGGTTCATCCAACTGACGAGTCCCAATTAGGACGAAACGCGCGACCTGGATTCCACTACTAACCACTATCCATTTTTGTTTATTCCTAATGTTTATTCTATCTACCCATTTGTATTAAACATTTCATTTGTTTTTTATTAAAATGTAACAATTAAGAACCAACTGGTGAAAGGAATATGGCACAAAATCTTACAATTAGAACAATACAAATGGGTGGGAATATCACATTCACATGTGTTATGAGTTCAAATCCACCAGCACAGATTAAATGGTTTAAAGATGAAGAAGATATTTATAGTGTTATGCCACAAGGTAAGCAATAGAGTTTGTTTCAGTGATTGCTTTTAGCACCATATATGTACCATTTGATTCCAACTTATTCGCCTAAATATAATAATAATAATAATAATAATAATAATAATAATAATAATAATGTCTATAATGGTAGTTCTATTCAGAACAATAAACTGTCATTTAAGACAACTAGTAGCTTTAACAAATTTAGATAATGCGATGAGGAGACGGAGGTTATCACAATCATGTAATGTTTTTACGTAAAACATTTATTATCCAGCGTGGCTTTCACATTGTGTACTTCTTTATTTAATTAATTACTTACGCCTCTTACTTACAATGGAGCATGGACCGCCGATCAGCATTCTTCAACACACTCTGTCCTGGGCCTTCTTTTTCAGTTCTATCCAATTTTGGTTCATTATTCTCATTCCTGTCTCCATTTCTCAGCGTAATGTGTTCTTTGGTCTTCCTCTTCTCTTTTGGCTTTGAGTATTCCATGTGAGGGCTTGTCTTGTGACGCATTTGGGTGCTTTTATCAGTTTTTATCCCATCCACTTCCAGCGCTTCTTCTAGATTTCTTCCTCCTCTGGCATCTGGTTTGTTCTCGCCCACTATAGGTTGTTGCTGATAGTGCCTGGTCAACGGATCCGAAATATTTTGCATAGACAGCTATTAATAAACAATTGCATCAAAAAAGTGGTTGGTATTGCCATAATTGTTTGGAAATCGTACCTCTGAATAATTTGTCTTTATTGATCCTTCAAACAGTTTCAAAAATTAGAGAGAAAAGTTTATAAAATACAACAAAGTGGATCATTCACAGGTCTAGGTGAAAATATGATCAAGATTTCTGTGATTAGTAAATGAATGTTTGTTGAAATTTTAATTTTATTACTGACATTTTTTGAACATTCATATTTCATTCATTTATTAGATCGGTTTTCAATTAGTTCTGATGGTTCAGCTTTAACGATTCTTAATGTTCGTCTTGAAGATCAAGGTCAATTCAAATGTTTAGCAGTTAACATACCTGGATCTTGGAATTATCATTATACACTGGAAGTAACATGTAAGTAAATTTGAGTAGATTAATAAACAATTGGTTCAACTCACACACGCACACATACATGTAACATGTACTAGGTAATGATGGCAAATCAATTGATGAAGTAGTTGGATGAAAGCTAGGGTCGGCCAGACCAAAATATTGCACGAGTCCATGAAGTCGCTGATAAGTGGACTGAGCCATGTTGGCAGGTGTAGACTACCTAATTGGGGACCGCGAGATGATAGCAACTGACAGTTAGAGATATGAACTTTCGTCTAAGTTTGAACGAATAGTTTCACAATATTTGGGCGCCGAGTTAATGTGAGTCATTAAAGAGGAATAACATATATTTGTAAAATCTCAGCGAAAGAATTTGAAGTAATTCCAACGTTTCGCCTGGCAATCTGGTCCAAGCTTTTTCAAGGAAAATATAATCAAACAACAAAATTATCGAATATAAATAGGTACATAGTTCTTCGGTTTACTGTATACTGAATAAGTCATCCAATCAACGTGAAGGATTTTTTAGAAATAGGTATTTGCATTAATATGTAAGAGACATGTTTGGACCAGATTGCCAGGCGAAACGTTGGAATTACTTCAAATTCTTTCGCTGAGATTTTACAAATATATATTATTCCTCTTTAATGATAGTTAGAGACCCGGAATGACATGGCTCAGAATCGTTTGCAATGGTGCAGGTTCATACACTCTTTGTGTTCTCCCAAATTCTAATCTTCTGAATTCGTCATGTCCCTTTACTTGTTCTCTTTCCAAATTTATTTCACTGTATTATACTCTTTGAATAACATCTTCAAACCCTAATCTTTCCGATTACTGCTTATACTCTTACTACCTGAATCGACAAATGCATCTCTGTGCTAATGTGGTGATGGCAACTCGAACTGATGTACGTACGTACGAAGTGCTACGTTGTTACTGACTGACTGACAAATGTTATCTGATAGTGAAAGTAGAATTGGTTTGCCAAATGGAGTAGAATGAAGCTGAATATTTCTTAGATTAGAATTTATAGTCCAATAATAAGTGTTTCATTAAATTGTTGTGATGAGGATGTATTTTAGTATTTTCGACAAAGTAAATAAGTTGCCTTTAAATAGGTTAGCCGAATTTTGTTTTAAAACTTATGGTTAGACTTTTGTGGGGCCCTTTATTTTGTTGTCATTTAGATCGGATGATGTTGTCGACGGGCTCACCAATTTAGTGGCCCATGATCTGACTCCAAGTAGATCGTATGAATGATTGTTATTGAATGATAACTGTCGAAATATATATGTCGCATATAATCATAGACTTAAATTGAGTTAGTCAATAACGGAACTAAATAAGTCAAATAACGAGGAAGGATTTTTCAATACGTATATTTTGTATATGAAGCGAATGGAATAATAGAGAGAAGTGAAACGACGCACAATAGAGATGGCGGGTAAGCCAACTCCATTTAGTCAATCGTTAATCAATAATTATAGTTACACAAAAGTAAGTTACAGACATGTGATGAGTAATGGGATACTTAATGTACGCACATATATGCGCTCATATAAAAGCAATCAAGATTGATAAGCGAATAATTAACAAGGTGAGAATGTGACTGAAGTAGATTGAGTAGATTGACCTGTATATGGACTTAACATAATAACAGATACTACAAGATGAATGGAATTTTCGTAAACTGTGTTAATGATTGTTACTCAACAGACATGAGTTACATGAATGTATTTCTTTCATAATCAGATCCACGAATATTTTTATTATTAATTATCAAACTCTTTATTCTTTTCACAGCATCTCCTGGTATATTGAGACATTCATCTTCACCATCTAAAGTAAATGTGAATGATGGTCAAGAATTACGTTTACAATGTTTAGCTACAGCAAATCCGGAACCAGTTTATCAATGGTTAAAAGATGATACACCATTAAGTCTTCATGTTTTAACTATGTCATCCATTGAAGGAAATGATTTTTCAACACCAAGTATAGATATAACAAATCTAAGTAGCCGTTATGAACTTCATGATCAAGGGAGATTACTTTTAATTAGAGGTATTCAAACACATGATGCTGGAAGATTTACATGTGTGGCTAGTAATCCAGTCGGTGAAGATAGATTGGATGTAGAAGTTGAAGTTTCATGTAAGTAATTTTGTATAAGTCAATAGTTTTTAATATAATGAAGGAATTATGACAATTCACTAAGGACATTTTTCTTCTAGACTGTATAATACTACTTATAGAAAGGAGATTATTTAATAATCTAAGGTATAATGAAAAATTAAGATTACAATTCATGAAAGTGATAAATCTTCTAATTGAATGATAGATTCGGCGGCTACCTAAGCTCTTTTAGTAGCTCCTAGACTAAAACTACACAACAACAATTTGAAGACGAGAAAAAAGGCTTCGAAATATGGAAGAAACACTTTACTTCGAAGATTCGTTTATGTACAGAAAATCTATGGTATTTATAGCATTTTAGATGACTTTAAGCTTCCGGAAAATTCAGGGACGCTACTTAATATAGTAGCAGTATAGATAATCATCCAATCAGGAATGCAACATGTGACTTCTCACTTTCTAGATGTTTCCAGCAAAACTTCTATTGGATGTTGATTGGATAAGGGGTGTCTCAGCATTATAGAATCTTTCTTGGCTTTTTCGGAGGAATCTTCCCAACAGAAAAAGAGATAATTACGTAATTAATAAATATGAAGATGTTGTAATGAATGTGATTACCAATTATAGAGACATAATGATATAACGGATGGTTTGCAATATTTTCCTCTGCTACACGTATTACGATAATACTTTAATACGTTAATAAAAGTAATCACGTTACATCAGAATCAAGATTCGTGACCTAAAATAAAGAACCAGATTAACACTAGAGGATACTTCATTCGGTACAGTTAAAAGTAGTCACACACAGTGAGTCCAGAGTAGAAATCAATGATGAGAAGGGTAATCACACATTTAATAGGTCGTAAGCTGTGGTTGTTTGTCCATGCTCAACAATTAATCATACTTTACTTTTACTACCACATATCACATAATTAAATGACCAATAAAAATAGATTATTGAGTAAGGACGAAAAAGGGTTAAGAATACGTAGAATGAAAAGCTGAGCATGTTTTTATGTTCAAAGATTAGGCTAGAATCGACTTCATGATTCTTATTTACTTGAAATGACCTTATTTAACTTTTAATTGCCTTGGGATGAGAATTCCAGTGATTCAATAACTAGTGTACACGAAATGTTCAAGGAATTGAACTACTGACTAACTTTCTCAAATCTTTTGACAACTAGTAGGGTCATGCTAGAAGATTTGTTTCTAATCTGTTTTCATGAAGTTTTGTTCTCTGAGCTGGATGGTTTGGTCTTGGAGCTTTCATTGTTCTTTTGAACAAGAACCAATCAACATCGAGGTGTACAGAACAAGCTGTGAACCATATATGGAGACATTCGAAGGCTTCACTTTTATCTAAAGTCTGTGCAGATGATGTCGTTCAGAAGAACGATGAAAGCTTCAAGATCAAACCATCCAGTTCAGAGAACAAATCTCCATCAAAATCATTCACATAAGCTACAAATCTTCTCCACTGTTTCTAATTTATTTTTACTCTAGTAGTCATTATGCTAGAACTATCTATATATTATTCTCAAATACTTATCATGAATAATCTATTTAATGAACCTCTGGGGAAAAACAAAGTTCATTTAATTCACACATTATTTTATAAAGAATGAAATGTTAACCTTTGTATATCTGAAAAGAAATCTACGCTACTGTGGTGTGAGCTACTTATATCCGCATAAGTAGTATATAGTGACGGTCAGGCATAGATTGTATTTCAATGGAAGATCGAGAGAGAGAGAAAGAAGAGGAACGAATAGCAATTGGTGTGAAAATGCCTGAACAATGAAATCTGAGACGATGGACCGATATTTGCAAAAGGAACAGTCACGTTTGAGACAATGGATTGATATCTTGCAAATTAACTATTCACTATATAGTTCTCAGATTTTAGTGAGATGTTCTGTAATTCCGTATTCAAATGCATTCGATTATCCCCACTCATTTTCTTGTTTGCTACATTACTAACTACGATAAAATTGTGTTTACAACGAGAAACTGCTGTTTGTAAAGCGAATATCCTAAACACACTTTTTTAAAGGGAGAAATCGATCCTCAAATTAAACAGATTCATTTATTCGTCTAAATTTGCAGCGTCTAATCGTGAGTTGAATGACGAATCCTGTTAGGTGGCCTAGGCTCCTCCATGAGGGGTAATAAGCGTAAGCAAATAAGTGAGTCATGAATAGGTTTAGATATAACTCTCCAAGATCATTTCAATAGAACTTGAACAAAAGTGTATATCAGTTTAGTACTTAAAGTTCTCTTTACTAGTAAGGAAAGAGATGATGGAGAAAAAAAGATAGCATTTAACAAATAAATTATCACAAATCTTTTTCATTAACTTATCTTTAGCTTCCCCAAGATTTCTTGATGGTTTAGATCATGAATCACCAATATTAGAGAGAGGTAAATCAAATCATTTATGGTGTAATGTTACTGGACATCCAGAACCTGAAATTCGTTGGGAATATGTAAGTTGCATTTTTTTTCTGATTACAAAAGATACAAGTTCCAATGAGCTAATAAACAAAAAATACTGAACATCAAGATGTACTTTAATTTTCAAGATATTACTATTAAATGAGAAGAAAACTACTGACTAATAACAGTGATAGTATTAGCTTACGTAACTAGACAAAGGATATTAAGCGTAGAAATACCATATAGGGAAGCGGTATGTAAGATGACTATACACCTAATGAAGAGAATAAAGAAGCTACGAACAAGTGGCTTCAGAATAAGAAAGAGGGCTTTAAGTTTATGGTAAAATGAGAGTATGGTTATACTTGTTATGAACACAAAAATGAAGTTTGAACTAGTGAATCACCAAAGTGAAAATCTGTTCATTTAAATAAAACACAACAACCCTAGCCAAGAACTACACCCAATTATATTATTAATTAGAAAAGTGTTTGACTTCATGATTCAAATAAAGCTGGATCACAATGAAAAACCTGGAAGCACTGGACGGCCATTTTGTCCTATTATGAGACTCCTCAGCAGTGTGCGTCCACAATCCCGCCCTCGAGACTCTAACCCAGTACCTAACAGTCTCGCGTGCGAACACTCAACCTCTAGACCATTGGGTCAGCCGGCATCCGACGGTTTTAATGTCTAACTTCAACTGATAGGACCTAGCTTCGAATCCCGTGATGCGAGATCGTGGATGCGCACTGCAGAGGAATCCCACACTAGGACGAAACAGCCGTTCAGTGCTTCCAGGTTTACCATGGTGGTTTAGTTTGAATTGATTCATGAATTCAACTATTAAATTACTATAATATCCAAAAAAACCCTTTCTGATAATAATTCATAAAAAATGGCCAGGATTACAACAAAATATCATACTAACACATGATTTATGTTAATTTAATAAAAAGAATATCATATTGGATAAAAAATCACACTGAAAATGAGAACAATCTTATGTTGAGTAATCTATTACATTGGAAATTATCCTAAGCAGTTATCATTACTGAATGAAGAAAAGGTTTCTGTCTAATCACAATTGATTGATCACTGGGTGGTGACCAATGTCATGTGTCTCAAGTCCTTATTATTAGTGCAGATCGAATGCTATCGATCATGATGCAATATGGCCACCAGTCTAGGTGGCTCGACACTGCGTGCACTATTGTGAGATTAGATGGCGGTTGGAGATAGTCGACAGGACACCCTGGACACGGGTTTCGTGCTACTTGGTACTCGTCAACAAGGTATACCTGTAGTCTTGAGTGGACTGGTGCTCCCCGATGGATTCGATCCCATGTCACACAGCTTCACAGTCAGAGACGTTACCACTGAGCTATCTGGGCCGCGACCAACCTCGTGTAAGACTGAGATGTAATCACAATTGATTGATCAGTGGGTGGTGGTTGGCCGTGGCCCGGATAGCTCAGTGGTAACGTCTCTGACTGTGAAACTAGGTGGCATGGGGTCGAATCCATCAGGGAACACCAGTTTCCTCAACATTACAGGTACACTTTACTGACGAGTGCCAAGCAGAACGGAACCTGGGTCCAGGATTTCCTGTCGACTACCTCCAACTACCATCTAAGGCTTCTGTCTAGGTATGTTAGTTTTCGAAAGTGTAGTTATCCACGTTTCTACTCAAATGTTTTTTCATGATTTTTTTTAAAAAATAATAAGGAACTACCAACTAGTGGTCCAGGTGATCGTAATATACAACAACGTTTAAATGGTAGACAATTAATTTTACCAAATGTCGACTATGGTATAATAACACGTTATATTTGTATTGGTAAAAATAAAGCTGGTGAAATTAAACGAATATTTGATCCAACTTTAGTATGTAAGTAAATATTTCAGTTACAGATTTTTCTACTCTATTTCTTCAAAACTATAAATCTAGATCTGATGAATCATTATATCATATTGAATTATCAACTTTCTAGGGTAGCTGTTCTCCCTGTCTCTGTTATCTTTATTCATAAATCTTTATATTATTATTGTTATTATTATCGGAAGATACAAGCCAAACAATACCAAGTGAATTCAAATTCACCCCATTGCACAGGCAAGTGGCTATCAAGACTCAGTAGCTGAGTAGATAACGCGATGACGTTTGAAGCGAATGGTACTGGGTTCGAGTCCCGGAATGAACATCAACTCCATGATGTAGGTACATCCAGCTGACGAGTCCCAACTAGGACGAAACGCGCATCCTGGATTTCACTGCTAGCCACTATCAATCATTGCTTACAAATAGCTTGTGAATTAAGGTTATATCGAGGCATACGCACAGTATGCACATATACCAATAACAGACTGATCAACTGCAGTCTTAAACCTCAATGGGAAGATACAAGCCAAACAATGCCAAGTGAATAATTATTATTATTATTCGTATTGTTGGTTAAACATCATTATTAATCTCCCCTATACATAATTCATCCACTCCGCATTCATCCCTCTGTATTACGTCTTATTTGATCGAATTGCAATTGCACTATTATTGCTCTCTCATCCTATTTGGCCCATATTTATTCTGATCATGGACCTTAAATCTCACTTAACATATACGCAGATTCAAGTTAACATTCTATATGAGCCATATCAACATTAACAATTTTATTGTATTTTGTTTATCACAATCCTAAATTCACATGCTTTAACTCTAAACGATGTACTTTGCCTTTAACCTGGACTATTTTCGGATTAATAATTTGGATATGAGATAATTGTAGAACCTGAAGAGAATTTATCGAAAAGAACATTCTTCGTTCAAATACTAGTCTTTTAATATGACGAGGATCTTTGAACGAATAATTCTCAGTTCTTGTAACCAAAATAATCACACTTCAATCCATTGTATTACTTTTTGCCTATTTGGTGTTTTAAATCATGTAGATATTGTTGTGACTTTATGGCCTGCTAGTTATCACGTAATCTATTCGACAATCAAAATACTACTTATTCGCTTTTATACTGTACTAAACCAATGACGTCCGACCAGTTTGATCAGCCTAGCGTAATACTGGTCCGTTGCTAGCCTAACCCGTCCAGCTGAATCCAGAATGCCAACAACAGCCTCCACTATGCGAATCAAATTGAATAATTTATCTCAATATACCGGGTTTATATATCAACTAAACAGATCGCAACGCACCATATAATAGGAAATATCATTCATACACAATAAAGCCAAAAAGTGGCTGTGAACGTGAGAGGCCGTAGTCAATAAACTGAACATAGCTTAAGAACAGTTAATCGAACAATAATAATATATCGGTCAAAATAAAGCTTATAACAAGGGGAATATAAATATGCATAATCTGATTACTGAATAGTTATACCATAAGAATATATAAATAATAATAGTCCATTGATAGGTCTCAGACGTGACTCGTAATGTAATCTTCACTAGGATGTAACAGACATATCTTCAATAAAGGAATTATTCTTGCCTGAAGCCCCTCTGGGGTACGAGTGGCCCGAAGCCTGGATAAAGGAGAAGGGTTGAGCATAGGGTTAGCGACCCTATCCCGAAGAAAATTAACTCTCTAGAAAAAACGCTAACCAGAGAAAACAATTCAGTAATAAGTTATTTTGAAAGATGGTTCCTTTTTTCACAATTTCTTACTAACTAGAAATTTATGAAGAATCTTATATTTGTATGTTTCTTATATTATTATGCCAATTTTATTTAATAAGATCCCCCAGTAATTATTGGACCCGAGGGAAAAAATCCAAGACATGTATTACAAAACTCTAGTACACGATTAATATGTGACTGGGAAGCATCACCAAGAGCTCAAGTGGAATGGTTTAAAGATGGAGAATTAATTACATTTGATACATTTCCAAATATTAATATTTCCGTTGGTGATACACAAGTAAGTAAATTATAAGAATAATTAAATCTTCAGTGAGACTATAATTTATGAACGACCTTTGAGTGACACTAAAGTAACGCTGAGATTGCCCATCTAATAAGTACGACTAAATGAGGGTTATAAACCTGTGTGTGGAATTAGAACCATGATTTACAGTTGATCATTAGGGTTAGGAATTAGATTTAAGGTTTTCATCATGAACTGACATCATCTATAATGTCAAAACTCTATTTATCCAAATGGATGAGTGAATTTCGCGCCGAAATCCGAGACCTGTTTATCTTATACCTGATTGGTTCGTCCATGAATTATAGTCTCGCCAAATCTTCTTTAAGTGATGAATTTTTGTTATATTCTCAATTCATACCTATCCTATCCATAGGAATGTTATTCTGAATACCAACGATATACTTATAATGATAGGATAATTCCTACTTATTTCATAGTGTGTAGCCTGGGATAAATACTGAACCTGTTTGTGAAGAACAAGGAGAAGAACCATGACAAGAATCTAACATACACAACATGTCATCTTATTCTATCAGCTAAGTCAATTGTATATGACTATGATGGTAGAATAATGGAATAGTCAATAAAATCTTTGATATTTCTATCTCACTAAATTTGAATGCTTCAATCATTTGGTACATAAATCCAAACAATTTGGAACTATTATTGCCAATATGAGACTGATCAATTGTAGTCCTAAATAACAATGGGAAGATACAATTAAAACAACACCAAGTGAATTTAAGCTTCACCCCATCGCACAAGGAGATGGCTATCAGGACTCAGCAGCTAAGTGGATAACGTGAGTGAACGGTACTGGGTTCGAGTCGCGGAGTGAACATCAACTCTGGGATGCAGGTACATTCAACTAACGAGTCCTGATTCCACTGCTAACCACTATCCATCTTTGCTTATTATTCACATTGATTTAAAAGCAATTATGCTTTCCTATTTGTTTATGTGATTACATTTAAATCTTTATAAATATTTCAGGAATAAAGTAAATAAGCAAGTTAGTACTAATCCTAACTAATTTAGGATAAATGGATAACAGTGGATTCCAAGCCGTACGTTTCATCCTATTGGAGGCTCATCAACTGTATGTAAATACATTAATAAAAAACTCTGAAAATATAAAATGGCTAAGAAGTACAATATGAGTAGACAATGACAAATGGTTCCTATCTTTTTCATTTACAGGACTGATTATTCTGAATTCAGTATAGTATAAGGTGATAGATATGCAATTTTTGAGGATTCCCAAACAGTTGTATACTACTCACAAGTTTTTTTTCAGTAGTTTCTTAGTTGATTTTAACTTTGAGATGATACTAATGATTGATCTATTTACATTTACAAGTAAAACGGTATTAATTGCATCCCTTCAATTGTAGTGAGATTTGAAGATCATTAACTAGATTCTCCATTCTTATTAAACATTCTTAGAAGTTAGCCTATATGTTTGTATATGTGACTTGAGCTAAATCAATAATTTCACAGGCTATTATCACATTATCAGAAAGGGTTTTGTGGAGACTTTAGAAATTTCACTGATTGAAATCATGAGTCAACTGAAGCTAGACAACCATGGAAAACCTGGAAGCACTGGACTGCCGTTTCGTCATATTATGGCACTCCTCAGTAGTGCGCATCCACGATCCCTCACGAAACGGCCGTCCAGTGCCTTCAGGTTTTCCATGGTGGTCTAGCTTCAATTGACTCATAATTTCAACCATTGATATTATCACATTGTTATCATATTAGTAACATTGACAGCTGTGGTCATAGATTTGAAGCCATCCAAAACTATTCATTTAAATGGTTAGGATGTATGCAGTAGTTTTTGTTCATTGTTTTTCACAGCTTTATCTAACCGATGTACAAAACTCAGATGCTGGAAATTATCGTTGTGTAGTAACTAATGAATATGGTTTGGCCAAACGTCAATGGTTGGTACAAGTGATGTGTAAGTTAGTAATGATAATGTATCTTTAATGCATCTTTTATGAAATGTGACATATTTAGAAGATCGTAACTTCTGGTATTTTTCATGAAATGAATTTACAGTTATCCATATATATGTGAGTGATATATGAGTATAAAAATCTAGTTAATTCAAATGTATAAAGCTCTGAGTTGACTCTATTGAATAATGAACAGTGGTGTTACTGAAATATAGATCCTCTTTGACGTAGGTATAAATTCTCTGACTAAATTACTCTAGTACTAACGAAATGATATAAGTTGAAAATGAAAGAACCTCGTGAATAAATATTTCAAACCTTTCTATAAGCAGACTTGGTAGACACATCTAGATTTACTTTGACGTATTTACGCATGTGGCCTCTCGTGTGAGAATAGACCGCCCACCAGGATTCTCCAACCAACTCTATCCTGGGCTCTCTATACCTGTTGTTTCCTAGTGCTATTCATTCCTTTGATATCTTCCTTCGATTCCCGATGGAGTGAGTTCTCCGACCTTCCTCTTTTTCGTTTCCCTTCACGATTCCTAATAGTAAGCGCTTACCTCATAATGCAGCTTGGTGATTTCCGTAATATATGTCCTATGCACCAAATTCTTTTTCTCTTCCTAATTTCCCCTCATCTGGAACCTAGTTTGTTCTCTTCCACGGTAGGTTATTGTCGATGGTGCCTGACTAATGAACAAGGGATCTGGAGCATCCTGTGTAGACAACTGTTTATAGTTACCTGTACATTTTTGATGATGATAATGATTGTAGTAGTTCTTCATGTTTCAACTCGACAAAAAGTAACTGCTAACGTCATAGTTGACAATTCCGACATCGGTGTTGGCTTTTAGATAGTTGTTTTGAGTTTCATATATCCTTCAACTTTATGAATCATGCCTTTACTCTCTTGATTCATGGCCTCATATCTGTATCAGATCCTTGGTGTTCATGAATGATGCTGACAAGGTATATGAAAGTATCCACCTCTTCCAGAGCTTCTCCATGAAGTGTGATTTGGTTGGTTCTCAGTATGTTGACTTTTGGGGATCTTACTTTCCCCTTGTGTATGCTGAGGCTCAATCCTGACGAGTTTGCTGCTACATCGGATGTCTTCAACTTAGTTTGTTGGTTTGTATGGTATAGTTGAGCCAGGTCATATGTGAAAACGAAATCGTCTAGGTGCATGCAAGCTACTTTATCCGGGCTTTAGATCAGCAGTAACCTAGGAGAGCTGGAGACGTAATTCTGTTTATCCATTTCTGTTTAAAAATGCCTGTGACTTGGCTTACAACGAATTTCTCGAAATATTCAACGTATATATGACAACAGAAGTCATAACTCGTGGATTAAATTAAGTGGGGGGAACGATAGTGTGTACATTCGAGGATAATGAACTGTTGTATAAAAATTACCATGAGTATATTATTTGAGTTCATTAACGAGATCAGTATATTTCGGTAAGTTTCTGTATGGACGATATAAAGCAGCAACTCAGTTTTTCAAAAGTATAAATGGTCTGTTTGACAAATGCTGAAACTTGAATTCCACATTTATTTATCATTAAAATAAACAAATAAACTAACAATTGAAATTTACTAAAACACTTGTCATGTTGATTATTGTGACCTTGATGTCATCTGTTTATTTAACTGTTAACCGATGAAAATTGTGATTCTCTTAGTCTCTTCGTAAACATATGAACTGACCTTATTAAAATTGTCCATGAAATTAAGGCCTGTAATTTGATTACCACTTAAGAACACTTTATTTACTTACTAAAATTAGTAACATACAATTTCATCATGTTCTTGATTCGTCAAGTAGTCATATAGAGGGCGGGAGTACAATATGAGACAAATAAGGTAATTGTACAGTCATGTACGTTTTGAGCAATGCTAAAAATATATATATTAACCACTGAAATAACTGATGACAACCCAAATCACTTACTGTATGAAGTAGTACGAAATAACCCCCCCCCCAAAAAAAATGCAATTAATGAAGGAATTCAATAAGAAATAATATAAAGTAATTAATCCCTTTGATAAATTTCGATAATGCAATGAGAAGACGAAGATTATCAGAACTATGTGATGATATATTAGTGCAATACATTTCGAACAATCTAATCACATATAGGACACTTGTTAAGAACATTTATATATAAAAATAAAAGGTCAACTAGACTGGAAATGGGATAAGAGGAATATCATTAAGTGGCCGGCAAGTTATTTATTTTTTTTAAAAAATTCCCCCCCCTTTAAAAAATTCTGACATCCAATCAAAGCACTTGATGCTATTTCGATTTCAACTAATCAGATTACAAAGATGAACAGTTTACGACCAATTACAAAATTATTAAAGGTGACAAAATGTTTGTTCATTATCACTTGAGCACACACTTGCGAAACAAGTACACCAATCACCGATCGCTAAATTTTTCTTTCACACCCTACAATTTCTAATAAATGGGTGGTAGGGAACCATAATTGCCGTCCATTTAATATCAACCAGATAATAAGGGTAGGTTTAAGGTGAGAGCGAACTGATCTTGAATGTATAAAGGGAGTTTGATTTTTCGTATGGTTAAGGCTTCAATAAATCTTAGTATGCGCCTTTTTACGCTTTTATACAACATCACAAAAGCGGAGTTAAGATCAATCTTATGACCTGTTTCGATTATATATTTGACAATAGAGAATGATGGATGTTTATCCTCTACTCTTATTGGGTCACTTGATTGTATTTGTTTCTGCAACCCTTTTAGTACATGTTCACACAACCTAATTTTGAGATTACGATTACTCCTCCCTATGTATGTGTGACCGCAAACACATTTCAATTGATAAACACAGTGGGATGTGACACAATCGTTTTCATGTCTTGTACGTTTTTGATAAAGCATGCATCTTGTTCTTTCTTTGATAATGACCTTTTCAGCGCAATACGTTTTGTTGATGACTGATTTAAGTCTTTGTTTCAGTAAAAGGATATTGAATCACCTCTGAATGATAAGGTGATGTAGACAGAATTTTTTTCTACCAAGGCTCACTGTACCATGGACTTTCAGAGGATAGCCATTTTCCATTAATGTTTTATTTAGCAACTTAACATCATCATCGTGGATATGCACTGCTGATGAGTTGCACAGTGGGTCGAAACGGCCGTCCAGTGCTTCGAGGTTTACATAGTAGTCTAGCTTCAATTGACTCATGATCTCAACTATATATATATATATATATATATATATATATATATATATATATATATTGATTTGTACACCCATTTCGACTATTATTGTGTATTCAAAAACAGTTCTCACCTTAAACCTACCCTGGTAATATTGGCTTATTATCCAGTGATTAGGTTCCAAACTGTGTTCACATTATTGTTATCACTCTTATTATTAACCTTGTCTCCTCTTACCCCATTTCCAGTCTAAATGACCTTTTATTTTTATATATAAATGTTCTTAACAAGTATATGTGTGATTAGATTGTTCGAAATGTATTGCGCTAATATATCATCACATAGTTCTGATAATCTTCGTCTTCTTATTACATTATCGAAAGAAAATAATGTGGAAACAATATGAAACTTCATCACTCTGGATAATAAGGGTATGTTTAATGTGAGAACAAACTGTTTTTGGAATACACCGAGAGGGTTTGAATTTTCGTATGGTTAGAGCTTCAATAAACCTTAGTATACTCCCTTTTACACTTTTATACAACACTATAAAAGCCGAGTTAAGATCAGTCTTATGATCTATTTCAATAATTATGCGTTTGGTAATAGAGGATGATAGATGTTTATCTTTTACTCTTATTAAATCAATATTTCTGTAACCATTTAGGAAGGTACATGTTCACATATCACAATCTAATCGATATTTATGGGTCATTTTGATTTATTGAATAAATTTATAATGAAAATCAAATAGATTTAGATATTCAAAGTCTTTCTTATTAAAGTGCGTTTATATTATGCACTTTGATACAAGATATTCACCCTAACGTCATATGTATTAAAAATCTAAAAACAGTTTTCGTGGATATGCACTACTGAGGAGTCCCTTAATAGGACGGGATGGCCGTCCAGTGCATCCAGGTTCTCTATGGTGGTCTAGCATCAATCGACTCATGATTTCAACTATTGAAATCTTTATTGAAGTCTAGGTAATTCAAGGAGAAAGAAAAATGATCATTATATATTCAGTGTTTAAACAATATGCTTGAATTATTGAATCATTATTTTATGATAGATATGTCTTGTGGATTGAACGTTAATTGTTATATCTGGTCGTTGTTAATTGTTGTGTCGGGAACACTGATCACTTATACTTGAAATGACCGACCTCTGTAATTTCCATAACGTGAAAGTAAGAACATAAAGACTGGTATAAGTAAATATTTATTAATCCTCAAAACATGATGACGACGATGACCCAAGTCGAACAAAAATCATGATGAGTAAATCAATCGAATTTTGACTTTTCTTTCTGTCTTCTACCTGAAGTTTGTGCTGATGATATCGTTTAGAAGGACGATGAAAGCTCCATGGCCAAACCATCCAGTTCAGAGAACAAAACCCTATCAAAAAATGTATAAAGACATATATAAGCTAACAATATTGTTTTCGATTAGATACACATCAGACTTTAACATAATTGGACCGTGAAGCGTATATTTGAGAAAAGAAAAGGGCTGAGACGTAAGAAGAAAAGGTCAAGGGAGAGATAAGGATGTTACAAATTTCTTATGAACATAAAGACTTGAATTGTTAACGTCGAATTCCTGTAGCTTCTGCTATGTCTAAAGGAGAAGAGATCGAAACCTCACTTCTTATTACGTAATCTCATAATTTTCTAATCATTGATTTATTTCCCATTATGTACCATTGATTCAAACCTTTATTATTGCTTATCACAACTAGTACACCTATCATCACACTACTGATTTGTACTTATTATGTTTATATGTATAATCTATTCCAC